GTCTTCCAGATATAGCTGGTCTTTAGGTTTTGAGTCTCTAATGACTCTGAGGCTATCTCATTTTCATTATAGCAGGAGGGAAAACTGTTTAGATCAATCACGACACCTTATCCTAAGTCATACAATCAGCAACATCATAGCATCAAGTACCTCTTAAAGAATGACAATTTATGGTAGTTATTAATCTGTCACCTTTAAAAAATAAAGGGCCTCCTTCAAGGTGTGTCTCTGCTGTTACAATAGACAACGTGGGCAGCAGTGTGCAGTTATAAGTCAATGAGTCTCAGTAAGCTAGTCCCAGTCCCGTGAGATTCAGGCAGATTTCTGGTTGCAAGTCCCAAGTTGAGCTCCCTGTCCTAATGCAGGGTTGCATTGTGCAAGTTTCTGCTGCAGGTTTCAGCTGCTTTTCCCCTGAAGAAAGTCCAGTTTCTGGTGGGAGCTGATGATCCCTCCAACTTACCAATCACAGTGGTCTGGTGTGCCTTTATTGCAGAGATTCCCTTCACTTTTCCAGTGGGCTTGTTTTCATCAGGGAGCCTGAGACAGGGACTCTCTCTGTTGTTCACTTCTGGAGCTCAGGACAATGGCTTTTGTCCCCCTGTGCCTCTGCAGTGTGTAACCAAGTAGCTGCACAGCCAAAAGGCCAGAGGCCAGGGGTGGGGGTGTATTGTTGGAGGCACCAGAGCAGGGCCAAGCTATCAGCTGGTGGGCCTGCCTGGGGGTGGGAAGTGGGGGGGGCCAGTGGTGGTGTCCTCCTCACCCTGTTCTGGTGGCTGGTGGAAAACTGGTGGAGCAAGCTGGAGCAAGCAGGTCCTGGTCAGCCTGCAGCTGCTCGGCTCCACTCGGCCCAGGGTTCTGTTTGGCCCAGCCGCCAGCTGGTGGGCCTGCCCCCGGGGGGGGGGGTGGGATCCTCCTCACCCTGTCTGGATGGCTGGTGGTAAGCTCACTTTATAATTTTTTTGATTGCTTGGCTCAGCTCTTGGATGTGCTTCCTGTTGAGCTTTCTAGTTCTATTTGAAAAATATAAGCATGTTGAAAATTAACTGGAATTAAAAGTAATACTGAAAAAAGAAAAAAAAGTAATATTGTATTTTTTTCTCATCCGTTATTAGGTGAGAATCCTCTATGCCTGTGGTTTCAGTGTTTTGTTGACCAGCTATACACATTCTGCTGTTGATAATATTCTTTTGAAATTAGCCAAGTTTAAAATTGGATTTTTGCGTTTGGGTCAGACTCAGAAGGTTCATCCAGATATCCAAAAATTTACAGAGGAGGAAATCTGCAGATCAAAATCCATTAAATCCTTAGCTGTTCTAGAAGAACTGTACAATAGTCAAGTAAGTACAGTTATTGTATGCTAATACTGGCAGTAACTTCTATGGCCAGAATGGAGGGAGAAATGATATTCTGTGAACTTAGTCACATTGACCAGATGTGCATGTGGATATATATTTCATAGGACCATTTTATTCATTTATAGTGTACTCTTTCCTTTGGAATTAAAATGAGTTTTTGGTTATTAGAAACTCATTTGGTTAGCAGAAAACTACTAGTAATTAGTATTCTTTAATGAATTTGAATCAGAAGCAGTGATATTTAAGTCTTATGATAAATATTTCTAGGCTTTGATATAGGACCTTGTCTTAGTTACTTTTCTTGTGGCTGAGACAAAATACCTGACACCCAAAGTTAAAGGAGGAAAAGGTTTATTGTAGCTCACACTTTGTAGAGGTTTCATTCCATAGTTGGCTGGCTCCAAGGCAGGGCAGCATGGCAGAGGGGCATTGAAGAGGAGAAACAGGCCATGGCAGGGCAGGCAGAAAGCAGCATAGGGGAGCATTGCCTCTCCCTTTATCCCATCTAGGCTATAGGCCTTTTTGCTGGTACCACCTCACACCCAGGGTGGGGCTTCCATTGTCAGTAAATCTATTCAGCCACACACACCTAGAACTATGCTAAACCAATAAGTGGACTAATTTAGTACCACACACCCTAGATCCAGCCAGCTCTGAAAGACCCCACCTATGAATGCATGAAGTATTGGGGGGACATTTAGATACAAGGCATAATACCTCTTAAATGTTTCAGATTCTATATTTGGAAATACTCAAATGTGAGCATTGTCCATAGTGCCTGGAAAATTGACTTGGTTTGTTTACATTCATAGAAAAATTAAAAATATACTTTACATGAATAAATGTTTTACAATTAAATAATACTAGAAGATTCTTCAAGGGGCCAAAAAGTAATAGTAATTGTTATTATTAGGTACTGGAGATCGAACACAGGACCTTGTGCTTGCGAGGCAGACGGCAGCACCACTGAGCTGGCCCCCCCAAAAAATTATTTTAAATGGGAGTAGCTGAGCGTGGTGGTACACACCTGTAATCCCAACACTTTGGGAGGCTGAGGCTGAAGAATTGATGTTTAAAGCCAGCCTGGGCTACAGAAGTGAGTTCAGAGCTAGCCTGGAATGCATAGTGAGACACTATTTCAAAAAAACAGGAAAAAAAGGCGGGGACACACATACTGTATTTCTTTTATATATTAAGTAACTTCTGTCGTTTTTGCTTTTTGTTTTGTTTTATGTTTTTTAGCTTATAGTTGCAACAACATGTATGGGAATAAACCATCCAATATTTTCCCGTAAAACTTTTGATTTTTGTATTGTGGATGAAGCCTCTCAAATCAGCCAACCAGTTTGCCTGGGGCCGCTTTTTTTTTCTCAGAGGTTTGTGTTGGTTGGAGATCATCAGCAGCTTCCTCCCCTGGTGCTAAACCGTGAAGCAAGGTAGGCAGACTTTAAGCTTTTTTGTTTGTTTTAGTAGAGATGGGGTCTGTATGTGTTCCCGGACTGGCCTGGAACTTCCAGGGTCAAGCTTACCTCCTGCTGCAGCTTCTTGTGTAGCAGGGACTGTAGATACACACCACCACACTGACATTGTTTTACTCTTGAACTGGATTCTTTTCAGGGGACTGTATTAGTACACTGATAAGTCTGAATTTGATTTATTGACAGAGCTCTTGGGATGAGTGAAAGCTTGTTCAAAAGGCTGGAGCAGAATAAGAGTGCTGTAGTACAATTAACTGTGCAGTATAGAATGAACAGGTATTTATCTGTGTTAGCAGTGAATCTTTTTCATATTTTATTTTAATCTACCAAACTAATGCTATATTTTGCTTCTCTCAGCAAAATCATGTCCTTAAGTAATGAGCTGACCTATGAAGGAAAGCTGGAGTGTGGGTCAGACAGAGTGGCTAGTGGAGTCATAAGCCTACCCAACTTTAAAGATGTGAAGCTGGAACTGGAATTGTATGCTGATTATTCTGACAGTCTCTGGCTGAATGGAGTATTTGAGCCGAACAATCCTGTTTGCTTTCTTAATACAGATAAGGTAAAAAAAATACTTTTTCTCCACTTGTCCTGTTTAACTTTCTCAGTTTGCATTACTATGTGTTTTGTTGAGCATTTTAGTTTGAAGGCAAACTAGTTCGCACTTCTTGTACTTCAGTACAGGAGTCTTTTCTTACTATAGGCCCAATATCTTTGGGAGGAGACTTATTCTGGGGTTTGATAGGTATCAAAATTGACTTTTGTGGGCTGGGGATTTAGAGCTCAGTGGTTCTGCTGCCTGCCTCGCAAGCGCAAGGACCTGAGTTCGATCCCTGGTACCAAAAAAAATTGACTTTTGTGGGGTTTTTTACCGGTGCTGGGATTGATTTAACCCAAAGTCTTGTGCATTAGGGCAAACACTCTGCCACTGAGCTATATACCCAGTCCCCAAATTGACTTTTCAAGAAGGAAAGTCAGAAAGTCAAGCACATAGTTTCATCTTGTAGGCAAAAAAGTGACATTGACCACTAACAAAAGACTAGTTTATAAGTGGACAGAAAATAAAATAAATTGATGTCTTTAAAAATCTTTTTAAAATAAGCTTTTAGTTTTTAGAGCAGTTTTAGGTTAATAGCAAAATTAAGCAGGAAATACAGGGATTTCCCATATACCTTTTGCCTTGACATGAGTACACAAAGATCCTTTTACAAATTTGTTATTAAATTAAAATCATGACAGGGACATTAAATGGCTTGAGTCTTCTAGGAACTAAGAATGAAGTTTTAACCCTATATTCGTAGTGTGTTTCATATAATGATTCCCCTGAGTTGTATGTACCCATTCATAAGGGAATTACTGTAGACCACTGATGGCAAACCCTTTAGAGACCGAATGCCCAAACTGCAACCCCAAACCCACTTATTATCACAGAGTGCCAACACATAAACTTTTTTTTTTGGTACCAGGGATCGAACTCGGGACCTTGCACTTGCGAGGCAGGTGGCAGAACCGCTGAGCTAAATCTCCAGCCCACCAACACATAATTTAACATGAATACTGTCTGGCCATGTGAAAGCTCGGATGAGTTGTGGCTAATGTTGTGTCTGGTGACATCATCGCCGGATGATGGGCCCTGCTACTCCTTTAGGAGCATGTGCATGGTCCTTGTGTGTGTCGTCATCTGATGCTCAGCTGCTGTGCAGTGCTGGACGACTTGGCTCACAGGCCACCGGAAGGGCTCTTTGTGCCCACTGCAGCATGCATGCCTTAGGTTTGCCATCACTGCTGTAAATAATTATCTTTGTTGTTAAGATAGGGTTTCAGGGTATAGCTCAGTGGCAGAACATTTGGCCTAGCAGGCACCAGGCCCTGAGTTTAATCCTCAGCACCACAATAAAAAAAGAAAGGAAAGAGGGAGGTAGAAGAGAAGGGGAGGGAAGGAGAGGGGAGGGGAGGGAGTGAGTGAGACTGATGGCTGGCTGGCTGGCTGGATGGGTAGGTAGGTACGTAGATGGAGCCAGCTGGTTTAAAATAAGGTCTTCCTACACATCAGATGGAATTTTCTTTCTCTTGTACATGGCCTTCCAGGATTCTGGTTTAAGAATTTAATTTTTATCTTATCAACTAGAAGCAGGATGGGAAATTTATTCAGATAAACTGATATAACAAATTTATTCAGATAAACTGATATAACAAATGACTGCTTTTATAACCACAGTTTCAGTTTATTTTATTTATTTATTTATTTATTGGTACCGGGGAACGAACTCGGGTCCTTAGCTTTTGAGGCAGTTGATGGAACCACTGAGCTAAATCCCTGGCCCTCAGTTTCAGTTTAACTACAATTTACAGGTATTCACTTCACTCATGATTGTACAGATTCTTTATTTTTGGTACTCCAGTTTCTTCTTAGCATCAGGATTCCAAATAAATTACCTTAAAAATAATCAAGAGGGCCAGGGATTTAGCTCAGTGGTTTCGCCGCCTGCTGCGCAAGTGCAAGGACCCGAGTTCAATCCCCAGTACCAAAAAAAAAATTAAAAAATCAAGATTGTGCTGGGGACATAGTTCAGTGGCAGAGCCCTTGTCTCCTTGTGCAAGAGCCTGGATTCTACCCCCAATACCAACGGGGAAAAAGAAATGAAGGTTGTGTAGGAATAATAGAGCTGTAAAGCAGTCCTCTTAGAGTTTGCAGGTTTGGTAAAGCTTGGGAGCCTTGTCTGCTCCATTATTTGTATAAAAGGTAACAGGAAATTGTAAAGGGTACTGATATTAGAGCCAGATCTAAGTTTTGAATCCTACTGTTAAGGATTTGTTGTAAGGCCTCAGGCAAGTCACTCTCCTTATGCATTTGATTCCTGAAGAATGAGAAATAACAAAGTAAAGCGTATGAAACACAAGGTATGGTCAACTTCCTTAAGATTTTAGCCTAAACTACAGTATCTTTAGGATGGGTTGCATTTGCCTGCCTTCTAGAAAGTGACTATTCATTTTCACTGATTCTTTCTCCTTTTAAAAAGGTAGTTTTTTTTGTTTTTTTTAATGTTTCCAAACCTGGCTGTAAAGTCTTTACATTGCCCTGTGCTTTTAGAGATTGTTATAAAGAAGTTACCTATTTTTCTACTTAGGTTCCAGCACCAGAACAAGTTGAAAAAGGTGGTGTGAGCAATATAATCGAAGCCAAACTCATAGTTTTCTTGACTTCAACTTTTGTTAAGGTAATTTAGAATGTTTAAAGCTAATTAATATTCAGGTGTAGGGTAACTGAATATTATTAGGTTGTGAGACACTTAAGAGCTGATGTTAGCCCTGTTAATTAAGATGAGACTGAAGCCCTATTGTTTTTGTTTTGAGGAATTTTATCTAAAATGTAGATAAATGTTTTTGGCCGGGTGTGGTGGTAATCCCAGTACTCAGGAGACTATGGCAGGAGAACTGCCAAGAGTTGGAGGCCAGCCTGGACTACATACTACATAATGAGTTCAAAACCAGCCTGAACTACACAGCAAGACCCTGCCTCGAAAAACAAGTATAATTTTTTATAATGGCTTTTTAAAATTTTTTTTGGTACTGGGGATCGAACTCGGGTCCTTGTGCTTGCACAGCAGGCAGCGAAACCACTGAGCTCAATCCCCAGCCCTATAATGGCTTTTGGAATTTTCCATTTAGGATAATTTCATAATGTCAGGCAATTCCAATTGTGTCAGTACTCTACTGTAATCAATGTGATTGGGCATTGGAAACTTTTCTTTCCTTTTTGTTTTGTTTTGTAAGTTTATTCCTTACGATGGGAACATCAGTGACAAACTTTAGTTGGGTATATAACGTACATTTAATAAACTTAGTAAAGCTTAAAGAACCAAAACATCAGGATTTTTCATTTTAAATTTTGTCCTTTTCTGTTTAGGCTGGATGTAATCCCTCTGATATTGGTATCATTGCACCATACAGGCAGCAATTAAAGATCATCAGTGATTTATTGACACGTTCCTCTTTTGGGATGGTCGAAGTTAATACAGTAGACAAATACCAAGGAAGAGATAAAAGAATAATCCTAGTATCTTTTGTTAGAAGTAATAAGAATGGAACTGTAAGTGAATTATATTTGCTACTAACTTATTTGGGGTGTCCCTCCTCCTAGGTTTTGGTTTTTGTTTTGCTTCGTTTTGTGGTAATGAACCCAGGGCCTCATGCACACTAGGTAAGGGCTCTAACCTAGATGAATTTCTTTCTTTGAAATTACCTTAATCATTTTTAAGTATATTCACAGTGTTATTAGAGATCTCCAGAAACTTCATTTTCCACACCAAAAATTTTGTACTAATGAATCTCTATTCCTCCACTTCTAAGCCTTCCTATTTTCTGTCTCTAAATTTGACTTTTCTAGGTACTTTACCTAAGTGGAATCATACAGTATTTGTCTTTCTGTGACTGGCTTATTTCACTTAGATTAATTCATGTTGTAGCATGGGATAGGATTTCCTTCCTATTTTTTTTTTTGGTACTGGGGATTGAACTCGAGACCTTGCACTTGCAAGGCAGGCAGCAGAACCACTGAGCTAAATCCTCTGCCCTCCTTCCTTTTTAAGATGGAATAATGCACCGTAGTTTATATATAATACATTTTATTTATCTATAAATGGCCATTTGGGTTGGTTTCACCTTTGGCTGTTGTGGTTGAGGGATTTTAAAGAAAACCTTCCTTGTATACATTTGAATTTGAAGATTATTCCAGGTTTTATTTTGTTTGCATTTTTACTTTTTTTTTTTTTTTTTGAGTCAGGGTCTGACTATGTAGTGGAGGCTGGCCTTGAACTCACTATGTAACCCAGGTTGGCCTTGGACTCAGTGATCTTCCTGCCTCAGCCTCCCAGGGGCTGGGATTACAGGTGTGCACCACTACCCCAGCGTACATCTCTTAATTCATTTTTCTTGACTATGTTATACATATATATGGTTTAAAAATATACATAATAGGGCTGGGGATTTAGCTCAGTGGTTCCGCTGCCTGCCTTGCAAGCGCAAGGTCCCAAGTTTGATCCTCGGTGCAAAAATTTATAGTGTGTGTGCGTGTGTGTATAATATACTTATTATATATGTATATATATGTAATAAAAAAAATCTTCCTACTCTGTCCCTTATCTTAGTTCTTACCTTGCAGATAGTCATGCTGGTTTTTTTTTTTTTAATTTGTTTTGTTTGGGGGGTGGGCAGGCTCTTGCTGTGTTATTCAGGCTGGCCTATAGTTAACTCACTGTGTAGCTCAGGCTAGCCTTGAACTCATGGCAATCCTCCTGCCTCAGCCTCCCAAGGACTGGAGTTACAGGAGTGCACTACCACTCCTGGCTGCTGTTGGAGCTTTTTTGCAACCTTTCAAATTATCCAGACACCGTTTTGAACTTTGCTTTTTCCACTTAAAGGTGCTGTTGCTCTTCATGTGAGTCCACAGAGGGAGTTTTCATTTTGTTTTCACAGTTGCATGGGTGTCCATTCTATAGATGTGTCATAACATTTAACCACTTTTGTGAGGCCTTTTTATACTTTTTCTTACTATTACAATTCTACAGTGAGTGGAGATAGCTCTAGTTCTTTATTTTTATTATGTGTAATTAATAATTTTAAACTATGGGTAGGGTATCACAACATAAAATATTTGAAGTTGGCATTGTTTTCCCAATTGCCTAGAATTTTACATGTGTTGATAAATCCTTTTTATAGTCTGTGTTTTAAAAGTAGGAAAATAGGGCCGGGGATTTAGCTCAGTGGTTCCGCCGCCTGCTGTGCAAGCGCAAGGACCCGAGTTCGATCCCCGGTACCAAAAAAAAAAAAAAGTAGGAAAATAGATGAAGATAAGCTATGTCGTTTGTCACAGCAAACTTAAATATACATTATAAGAAAACTGAAATAATTGAAAATTACATTTTTTACAGCTTGGTGAACTCTTGAAAGATTGGCGACGTCTTAATGTTGCTATAACCAGAGCCAAACATAAACTGATTCTCCTGGGGTGTGTGCCCTCACTAAAGCGATATCCTCCTTTGGAGAAGCTGTTTTGTCACCTAAACTCAGAAAAATTAATATCCTTTTTGTCGTGTATGTAGTTACATTTGTGCAACTGTGCTTTTTATGAACTTGTATAAATTAAAACTGTCTTATGTTTCGCACCTGCATTTTTTTCAAAGATCTAGTTTGACAAAGGAGAGAGAAAACAATTCACAGGAAGTCATGTTAGGTCACAGGAAGTAATGGAGGTGATAAGAGGTAGATGGTTTATAAAATGAGAAAGGGATGGCTGGGGATTTAGCTCAGTGGTTCCGCCGCCTGCCTCACAAGTGCAAGGTCCTGAGTTTGATTCCTGGTACCCAAAAAAAGAAAGGGAAAAAGGGGGACATGATTTGTTGCCCCAGAACTAGCACATTCAGGAAAATTGGCTTTTTCTTTTCTGGTTCTCTCCAAATTTATAACCTTGTTTTTATTTTTATTTATTGTGGTGCAAGAGGTTGATCCCAGGGCCTTGTACATTAGGCAAGTGGTCTACCACGGAGCTACACCCCCAGCCCTCCCTCCATTATTTTTCAAATAAATCATTAAAAAAACTTACTGGGGGGCCAGGATATAGTTTAGTGGTTCTGGCACCTGCTTTGAAAGTGCAAGGTCCTGAGTTTGATCCCCAGAACCAAAAAAAAAAAAAAAAAACTTACTGGAAGGTCTGAAGATACATTTATCTTATTGCTTAAGTACATAATTATCCATTGTCATGCAGATCTTCACATTTTTTGTAGTTCTGTAAACCCTATTGTAAAATGTGAAAAAAATGTTTTTGTAGAATCCCATGTTGTGTTAAATGTATCTTCCTTAATTTATTCTACATCACTGATCTTCCATCAAGAGAGCACGAAAGTCTCTGTCACATACTGGGAGATTTTCAAAGATGAAGCACTTTTTCTTGCCTATTCGTATTAGGGCAATGTCTCCTTGCTGTTGCCTTGTATTCCTAATTTTGGTTTGCTCAAAAACAGAGCCTGGTTAAACTGTGAAGATAACTTTTATTCAAAGGGTGCACTGCAAAGTTCCAGTTCTTTCCTTGCTTCTTTTCCCTCCCCTCCCCTCCCCTCCCCTCTCCCCCCCCTTTGGACCTTCTCTTTCCCTCTCTCCCCCTCTCCCCCTCTCTCCCCTCCCTCCCCCCCTTAATCTTGTTAAACATAAATTTCTGTTGCCATACAAAATTTAACACTATTTATTTAAATACAAATGTACCCCAAACTGGGGAAAGTGTATAGGTACTATAAATACATTGTCATCTGGCCTAAAAAAGTGATAAATTTGTAACCAACTAAGCTTTAAACTCAAGTCTAAAATTTCAGGACTAGAGACAGGGATTTAGCTCAGTAGCACAGCGCCTGCCTAGCAACCGCAAGGTCCTAAGTTTGATCCCTGGTACTGCAAAAAATAAATAATAAAATAAAATTTCAGGACTAATTTAGTTTTATAGATTGAACTGTAAGATTTATATTTGAAGTACTAGATAAAGTTTTCATTATTTAGGCACAATTGTGATGATGGGAAAACTGATTTTTTTTCTCTGTATTTTAAGGTCCCTGACCCAAAGGCCATTTTGATTTTTAGTACTCGTTAGTATTTCAGTATTCACTTCATACTCTGGCCTTGAACTTTGTAATCCTTCCTGCCTCAGCCTCCTGAGTGCTAGGATTACTGGTATGTGGCACCACATCTGGCTAAAATAGAATTTGATAGAAGATAATTCTTAATTCTTTTGAGATGAAATCTTGTTTTCTGAATTGATGACAAATTTAAAAGTTATATCCCTGTTTTTACTTATTTATGTATGTTTGGTTTTTTCTGTGTGTTTTTTTGGTACCGGGGATTGAACTTGGGTCCTTGCACAAACGGTGAAACCACTGAGCTAAATCCCCCCCAACCCTCTATGTTTGTTTTTTTTGTTTGGGGGCATTCTTCAATTTTTTCCTTTTTGTGTGTTAGGTATGTCGGCTATACCTATAACCCAGCTACTCAGGAGGCTGAGGCAGAAGAATCTCAAGCCCAAGGCAAACCTGGGCAACCTGGGGATCCTGTCTTAAATACTGAAACAGAAAGGGCTGAGGATGTTGCTCAGTGGTAGAGCACTTGCCTAGCTCAGTCCCCAGTACTGGGGTGGCAGTGGAGGGGGAGGTGTTGTTAAAGTTACCTCAAAGTGATTTGTTATACATGTAGGAGATTTTAATCTCAGCATATCTATCTTCTGGAGGGAAAAGTCTTGTTTCTTTTATTTTTAAAATAAATATTAAATATGTTAAAATTGTCTCTTAAGTTACTAGTTTTAATTTAATAAATTGTTTTCTACTGATAGATTTTACTGTGTCATTTATTATTAATGCTTATCATGAAGTTCAGGGTTATCTCAACATTTTTTCTAGTGTTGATAATACTCTAAAGCTGAAACTAGTGTTGATATAGACAGATTTATTAGGATACACAGGATGGGCCTGAACATTGGAGAAATTTTAGATCAGACAGTGAAGATGGGAAATGTGATTACAGGAGCTTAAATACTGTTAGGGATCATGAGAAAGCAGGAAGGAATAGAAAGCTCTTTGGCTTAATCAGTGGTTGCTTCCTTACATACAGGTTTTTATGGCTTGAGGAGTAAGCTTCATACAAGAGGGCCAGGGATTTAGCTCAGTGGTTCTGCTGCCTGTCTTACAAGCGCAAGGTCCCAAGTTCAATACCCAGTACCGGGGGGGAAGGGAAGCTTCATAGAAGAGTCTGGAAATGAGCCCCATGGCTGCTGTCATTTTTCACGAGATTCTAGCCACACCTTCCACATAAAAGGTGCTGTGAGATGGCAGCTGGGGTTAGAAGTTAAACCTAGCCCAGGTCTTCAAGGAGCTAGCAGCTCACCGCAAGCATGAACTCCGTGCTAAGGCCCAAGAACAGAATGGCTCCCCTCACTTGGTGGAGTCCCACATCAAAAGCACCTTAGCTTAGATGAGGCTTTCCTTCTAAAGGATTGGAAGACAATGTTCTATTCCGTTTCTGAATCAGTTTGAAACCAAGGGAGAAGTGGGATCAATGCTCTAATCTTAATCCACTTCACCTACTTTTACTTGCTTTTAGCTGACCTTAAAAGGTAGCAGTTTTAGAGGTAAGACCTGACATGGGTCAGGATGGTGACAGCTGGAGTTTGATCTTGCATTCGCAGACCACTAGTTACTTCTAGCCTTCAGTCACTTTCCTCTGTCAGGCGAGGAGGCCCGTTCTCAGATCCCATTTTCTCCAGCCCCATCCTTGGGGAGGTAGATTTGAGGCTTGTTCTCTGGTCTCCACACTTGGCCGCCTCCTGAACAAACTCTCCTTGCCAGTGTCATTTCAGCTACTGGCCTGCTGTACCATGGGCCTGCTTTGGGACCAAGTTCAGTGTTCTGCCTCTTGATGCTGCCTCTGAGTCCTCTCTTTTTCCTTATCCCTCTAAGGCTAGGTCTTCTCTCTTTTTGAACTGTAACTGGCTTCAGCCAGCACCTCTGTGGTCATTTTTTTGAGAGAGGGCGTCGCTATGTAGTTCAGGCTGGCCTTGAACTTGCTACCATCCTCCTCCCTCAGCCTCACCAGTGCTGGGAATACAGGCATGCAACCACCACGCCCACCACCTCTGGTGGTTTATCAAACCTGCACCTCACCCTGCCTTGCAGGTCCTAAACTTTCCCTTTTAGCCTTGGGTCCTAAACTTTCCCTTTTGGCCTTGCTCCTAGATTCTCTTTTTTTTTTTTTTTGTACGGGGATCAACCTTGGGACCTTGTGAGGCAGGTGTGGCACCATTGAGCTAAATCGCTGGCGTGCTCCTAGATTTCTTAAGTGGATCTTTATCTTGATGACTTTGTGACGTCTTTCTTGTCACCCTTGGACTGTGTCACAAAGCTTGGAGAGTGCTGATCACTGACATTTTTTCATAATCTTGTAGTATTGCCCTCTGGTAGTTTGGTGTGATAATCTAGACTGCTGTCCGAAAAACAAAAATTAGCTGGGTGTGGTGCTACCTGCCAGCAATCCCAGTGTTCTGGGAAGCTAAGGTTGATATACATTCACAGATTTGGGCCCAGCCCGGGCAATTTAGCAAGACTGTCTAAAAACAACAAAAAACCCCCTAGAGATGTAGCTTAGTATGAAGGCCCTGGGTTCAATCAGTACCACAAAAAATAGTAACTATAGTAGTCAAACCGCTAGACAAAGTTATTGCCCCAATTTCATGAAATGCAGCAGCTATAGTCTCAACTATTACCCACGTTTGACTGGTTAACAGCTTTTACTTTTTCCCAAACCAATAGGATTTAAGCTTAGTGTCATCTGGTCATGAACTCTACTTCCCTGTCTGAAATGAATAAACATTGGTTTTTTGTCTACATCTCTTTCCCCTTGATTTTTTTACCATCAAACTCGGTGATTTGGAGCTGTCTAACCAGTGTCAGTGGATTTCTACCCACCGTTCACTGCATCCGGTTCTCCGAATTCCTCTGGTCTCCCGCGAGCTGCCGGAGACGAAGAGAAACGAAGAGAGGCGGCGCGCGCTGACCAAGCCCGGGGCGGCCTCCTCGCGGGGTCCCGGGCTGCCGTGCTCCGCGGGGCGGGCTCTCCCGGCCTTCGTCCTCCCGCCGCCGGGGGCGCTGTGGGCCACCGCGGGCTTGTGCAGACGCCGTGGCGGCAGCCGCTCGCCTGCCGGGAGCTGGCGGCCGGGCCCAGGGAGCCACCGCCCGAGATCGTACCGCCGCCATGGGTAAGGAGAGCCGTCCGGGAGTGGGCTCCGTGCTCTGCGGAGGGCTGGGGGCCGCGGCCGGCGAGGGACCTGGGGGAGGACGCGAAGGCCTCGGGGCTGAGCCGGGTGGGCGGGGGCGGTGGGGATTTGGGGGGCTCGCGGGGTCGCCATGGCAACGCGGGCCCCACCTCACCGCCCCCGCCCCCGCGCTGGGCTCGGAGGCTGAGGGCTCCGGGTCCGGAGGCTTCCAGGAGCGAGGAGGAGGACAGCTGGGGTGTCGCTCCAGGGTCGGGGGACAATCCGGGTCGAGCGATGACTTTTCAGGGGTGGGGGTGGCGGAGGGAAGACCCCTCTCAGGGTTTGGCGTGGGTACCCGGCCCAGAGGGCGAGAGAGGAGCAGCGGTGCCGTGCAAGACCCTGGGTGAGCCTGCGAGCGGGTCCCGGGGACGGCCGAGGCCTCGAGCAGCCTTGGGGTCGGGGAAGGCGAGACTGGGGCCCCAGTCTCGGCCGGGTGCGGCCGGGCTCTACCTGTGCCTGGCCTCCGGGTGCCCTGGCCCGGCCGGGGCGTGGCCGGAAAGCCGGTGCCCAGCTCAACCTGGCGGCCTGACGCTGCGGAGTCCCACTTTGTATGCTGGCTGCATTCACCTCCGGATCAGGGTGGACACGATAAACTGAGAATTGCCACAGATTATGAAACATCAGGTGGTTCCACTCCTGGAGAAAGGGCTCCTACCGCCTTGGGGATTGAAAGTGTGGTGTTGCGTATGGACTTGCATCGCTGGGCAGCCTGGTCAGAGCAGACTCGCCTGCCTTTTAAGTTGCCAAGGATTCAGTGACAGGCTTCAGGCCTAGCTGTCTGAAACCCGAACTGGAATACTAGGTCATGGGGAACTCTAGATATTTGTTCAGTGAAGGAAAAATGAATACTTTGATTACTTGCACTTGTGCATTTGTCAGAGATGATGAGATGTTCTTAGGGCTTCATTTTCTGCATCTCAGTTTTGCCATCTGTGTTTGCTGAAAATATTCCTGCCAGTCACAACAGTGATGAGAGCATGGGAAAGCATCCGAATTTCTAAAAGAATAAAATTTGTGGGGAAGCAAATAATGTTTTTGTGATATGAAAATAAACAGCTAAAAAAAATAATAATAATCAGCTAGAAATCAGGACCAACCTGGCATGGTGACACAGGTCTGTAATCTCGGCACTCTGGGAAGCTGAGGCAGAAGGATTGCAAACTTAAGTCCAGCCTGGGCAGTTTGGTGATTTATCAAAACTCTTGTGTCAAAATGAAAAATAAAAAAGTGGATAGGCATGTAGCTCAGTGCAAAAGCCGTGGGTTCAGTCCCCAGCAGTGGGGGTAGAATCAGAACTTTAATTTATTTTATTTATTTATTTTGGTACCTGAGATCGAACTCAGGACCGTGCACTTGCAAGTAGAATCAGAACTTTTAAATGTATCTGTTATTAATACTGAAACAGTGGTGTCCTCAGCTATGTGGAAGGGCAGAGGACTTCATAAGGCAGCCGTGTACTACAGAACCTCAACTGGAAAGAGAGAGACAGAAAGAGGGTTGAAGTGGATGAAGATCCAGCAGCTCCTTCTGTATCCCCATATTTTCATCCTATTGTACCTGTCATGTTTGTTATGGGTGACACTGCCATCTTCAAACTTTAACCACCTTTTTATTCTCAGCTTGTTCTGAACATTTTTGTTTGAAATTCATCCTTAGACCATACCTACTAGCTGCCCTAAACATGAGACCCCTAAACATGTCCGTGACCACACCCATCTCCCCCAAACATTCATTCTCCAAGAAGAGGTCTCAGAAGATATTGGGAGCATGGGGCACTTGCAGAATTCCCAGACATCCACAAATGTGGCTGGAGCGGCACAGTAGTTTGTGGTGGTATAGGTGAGGGGACGTAGAGCTGTAGGGCGTAGTTAACTTGGCTGGGGGAGCACGCTGCTCTTGGTTTTCTAGGAGGAGGACACAATTGTGTAGTTTTCATGGCTGGGTATGGTGGTGCTTGCCTGTAATCCCAGCACTTGGGAGGCTGAGGCAGGAGTATTGCAGCTCAGTGGAGGCCAGCATGAACTATATAGTGAGACACAGCCTCAAACAAACCAAAGACCTTGTGAATGATACTGATCTCTTTTCTCTGCTTTTAGCTACAAAAGACCCCACAGCTGTAGAGAGAGCAAACTTGCTAAACATGGCTAAACTGAGCATCAAGGGACTCATTGAATCTGCCCTGAGCTTCGGCCGCACGTTGGACTCGGACTATCCGCCCTTGCAGCAGTTCTTTGTTGTCATGGAGCACTGTCTGAAACACGGCCTCAAAGGTAGCCTGATGTTCCCACTAAATCACTTTAGAATGCCTGCCCTTTGACTCAGATAGGCTTTTTTTTTTTGGTACTAGGGTTCAAACTTGGGACCTTGCCCTTTCGAGGCAGGCGACAGCACCACTGAGCTAAATCCCCAGCCCAACTCAGATATTCTTGAACATGTTTTTTTGGGTTTTTTTGTACCAGGGATCAAACTCAGGACCTTGTGCTTGTGAGGTAGGCTATGGAACCACTGACCTAAATCCCCAGCCTTGAACATGTATTTTTTGAGGTCATAATTACTGTTGGTTTTGTTTGTTTGTTTTGTTTTTTGTTTTTGTTTTTGAAACAAGGTCTTGCTATGTAGCCCAGGCTGGCCTCAGATTTGGCAGTCCTCCTGCCTCAGCCTCCCCAGTGCTGGGTTTACAGGCATTTGCCATCACTCCTGGCTCATAAAATATATATTTAATTTTTTTCAAAAAATAAGTTTTTTTCAATATGTATCCTGAACTGGTTTCTGTTTTCCAGGACAATTACAGTTATTTAAATTTTAAGCTTAGTGATTCTGATGTGAACTCATATTAATAGTTTGAACCCTGTTGAACACATGTATTGAGAAGTAGATTATTGTAGTAGAGACCACTGAAGTGCATGAGAATGTGCCTATCCCAGGGCTGGGATATTGTAGAAATGATCACTGAAAAGAGTAATCCATGCTGTTATACAGTTCACTGAATTATTGTTTCATGTAAAATGTTTATTTTATATGTTTTTTCCAGTAATGGAAATCAAAACCAGGGCTGTGTGCATGTTAGGCAAGTGCTGTACCACTGACCTGTGTCCTCAGCCATATATTTACTTTATAAATACAGTGTAGCTGGGCGTGGTGGCTCATGCCTGTAATCCCAGCCCTTGGGAAGCAGAGGCAGGAGGATTGCCACAAGTTCGAGGCCAGCCTGAGCTACATAGTGAGTTCAGGGCCAGCCTGAACTACAAAGTGAGACCCTGTCTCAAAAAAAAAAGAAAACACAGTATATATTTACCTGTTGTAGTTTTGCTGTTAGTTTTGGTCTCTAGTTCATATGATCAGCCTCTGTGTAGAGGACTATGTAAGAGTTGTATGCTGTTGTGACTCAGCAGAAGCGTGGCTATTGTTGGTGTATTAGCATGGATAAGTTAGGGAAGCTTAAAAGTTCTAACTACAGAGCATGAAAGTTGGGTAGATATAAAAAGCAAAAGAGGAAGCCTGGTGTGGTGGTGTGTGCCTATAATCCCAGTACTTGGGAGGCTGAGGCAGGAGGATCTCCGAAAGTTTGAGGCCAGCCTAGGGTAGGTAGTGAGTTCAAGGTCAGTCTGAACTACATAGGGAGACCTTGTCTCAAGAAAAGAAAAAAAAAAGCAGCCTTATTATCAAAGTTCAAGAAATCCTATATGATGTTATTAATGCACTGATTTTTTTTTGTTTAAAAACATAATAATTTCTTTCTTTTTTTTTTTGGTACCAGGGATCAAACTCTGGTCCTTGCACTTGCACAGCAGGCGGTGAAACCACTGAGCTAAATCTCCGGCCCTGAGACATAATAATTTCTTAAAATTATATAGGTAGGGCCAGGGATTTAGCTCAGTGGTTCCACTGCCTGCCTCACAAGTGCAAGGTCCCGAGTTTTTTTGTTGTTGTCTTTGGGTACTGGGGATCGAACTTGGGACCTTGAGCTTGCGAGGCAGGCGGTGGAACCACTGAGCTAAATTCCTGGCCTCTGAGGTCCTGAGTTTGATCCCCCGTACCAAAAAAAAAAAAAAAAAAATTACATAGGTAATGGTGAAATACACTTTTTGGGTACAGTGGTCTCCTTATCCTGACCCCCATTGTAATTGGATCCAGCACCTCCCTTTGTTATCCAGCTGGTTTTCAGTCCCATTCTGCCTCGGCCTCCTCAGCAGCTGGGACTCCCTGCGCCACCTTGCCTAGCTTCTCCGTGCATGTCCAGAAGCCGCCAGCCTGTTGGGCCTTGTTAAATTTTATTTCCTTTCTGAAAAATTTCTATTTATTTTAAACTTTGATTTTTTAAAAATAGCAGTGATACAGATTTTTTGCTTTCCCCAAGCCTATTGAGTTGGACTTTGCTGAATGATGGCCAAGACAGTTAAATTCTTTTTCAAGATTTCTTATCCTGTGTTGCACAAAATGTAGTGGGCCACGTCCTCGTGGTCCTCAGCCCATCGTGCCGCATTGCTGGGGAGCTCCCTTGTGCCAAGACTCCCCATCAACAGTGTCCATCCTGGCACTTGTCCAGGTGGTGCCTTGGGGGAGCCAGACACTGTCTCTGCAGAGCGGGAAAGAAATGCACGGCAATTGCATGGTTCTGCATACCCAGTGTCAGAGTGTAAAGAAAAAATTTACAGTTTTTCATATTTCAAAGGAAAATGCCTTTTTATTTGTGCTTGGTTTATTTAATAAGCTTTCAGAGGTCAGTCCATTAGGGCCACCAGTCATTTTGTTGCAGTGTCCTGGTAAAGAATGAGCCCAATAATTTCTTTGTTTTGGCTTTTTGAGACGAGGACTTGCTATGTAGTTCTGACCTCAAACTCACATTGGCTGGTCTCATTGATCCTCCTACCTCAGCCTCCCGAATGCTGAGATTGCAGGCCTGCACCACCACACCTGGTTTAAGCCTGGTCATTTTTTTTGACTTTGATTACCTTCCTGCATATTTCTGACATAGAGGAATGGCTGAGGGGCATTTTTCTGTTATGGCAAAAAGTAGCATGGGCTCCAGGATCCTGACTGAATGGGCTGCTGATGCACAGGGCCGAGTGGTGGTGGCTGGTGGGGAGGTCTCTGGATAAGTTAGAAATGTTGAGACTGCATTTTGTTTGTTTGTTTGTTTGTTTGTTTTTGTTTTTTGAGGCAGGTTCTCCCTTTGTAGTTCAGGCTGGCCCTGAACTCACTATGTAGCCCAGGCTGGCTGGGACTCTTGGCAATCCTCCTGCCTCAGCCTCCCAAATGCTGGGATTACAGGCTTGCGCTGCCACGCCTGGCTGAGACTGGAATTTTAAGATGAAGTTACTACTTTTTTTTTTTTTTTGGTACCAGGGATCGAACTTGGGACCTTGCGCTTGTGAGGCAGGCAGCTGAACCACTGAGCTACATCCCTAGCAATTACTACATTTTTTTATGTTGAAATTGTGTGCATTGTTTTCTTTTTTCCAGTAAGAAAATCTTTTTTGAGTTACAACAAAACCATCTGGGGCCCTTTAGAACTGGTGGAAAAGTTGTACCCAGAAGCAGAGGAAATAGGAGCCAGTGTCCGGGATTTACCAGGTCTTAAGTAAGTCATCTCATTAGTTGCTCATCTTTCCCCACAAAAGTCTATTTACTGTTCCTTTAAAAAGTAGCTCTTGGGCCGGGGGGTTTAGCTCAGTGGTTCCGGCGCCTGCCTCACAAGCGCAAGGTCCTGAGTTCGATCCCCAGTACCAAAAAACAAAAATAAAAAGTAGCTCTTCTTTTTTTTTTTTTCCTTTTTTGAGACAGAATCTCTCTGTGTCATTCAGGCTGGTTTGAGTTCATTGTGTAGCCCAGGCTGGCCTAGAACTCATGGGAGTCTCCTGCCTCAGCCTCCCAAAGAGGCTGGAAAGAATCATTTCTTCCAAGTTTAAAATGTTACTTAGATGTTCTGCAGGAGCAGATTTGCTTACCTCCCAGGGGTTGGGTTGCTTGCTCAAAAAGCTGGCTTGAATCTATAAAAGGAAAAACAAAACCATGATAAAATTCCCCTTTCCTCCATTAATGTGTGGCTCACAGAGCTAGAACAGGCAGTTGTATGTTTCTGGGCAGAAGGCCGCTTTCTGACCGCTGGCTGCTTCCTCCTAGGACCCCACTGGGCCGTGCACGGGCCTGGCTGCGGCTGGCGCTCATGCAGAAGAAGATGGCCGACTACCTGCGCTGCTTGATCATTCAGCGGGATCTCCTGAGGTCAGCGCCTAAGCCCCGCTCGTTTCCATGCTTTATTTTATTAAGTCGTGTCTTCACAAAGGGGTTGGAGAGGTAAAATGCAATGTTGTATAAGATATAGTAAGGGGCTGGGGATTTAGCTCAGTGGCACTGTGCCTACCTTGCCAGAGCAAGGACCCGAGTTCAATCCCTGGTACCAAAAAAAAAAAAAAGAAAGAAAAAGAAAAGATGCAGTAAGATGGCACAAAACAAAAGGAGGAGCAAACAGAGAGAGGAAAAAAATGTGATAGGGTCTAACAGGGTCAGGAAGGAGCCCGAGGTATGAATATTGTCAGCTTTTTACTGGCCTGTAAGGGGACGTGTGTTATGTTTTTGCTTTCATTCTTTTGAGTTACAGTTCATTCTGTGGATAAAGACTTGCATTGGAGTTTGGGGTTTTTTTGTTGTTGTTGTTTTGTTTTGTTTTTGGTACCAGGGATCGAACTTGGGACCTTGCACTTGCAAAGTGGAATTTGGGGTTTTAATCCAGCATTTTGCTTCCTCCATTTCCGCTGGACCCAAGTTGGGCCGTTGGAGCTACGGGTGGGTGGAGTGCTAGGCCTACCTCAGAGCTGCAGCCCGCCCCCAGGTCTCAGGGCAGCCAAGCACAGCCTGCACCGCCCTCCGCCAGGGGCTAGGAACCCACCCTGAGGTCCATGTACCCATGACTCTGGGTTCACACCTTGGTCTTTCCATCTGTGAGATGAGAATGGCCATACTTCAAGCACCGCAATCTTTGTCAGTGACCTCAAGCTTAATTGAGGTAATTAAATAATACCCTTAGCACTTTTTCAGGAAAGCATGATAGTGGTAACTATTTCCCTGCATATATATTGACAAGTCTTAGTTTTAGGTGTTATTGTGACCTCTTTTTCTTTGTTTCTTTCCTTTTTTTTTTTTTTGGTGCTGAGGATTGAACCCAGCCCAGGGTGGCCTTGACTTTGCAATAATCCTCCTGCCTCAGCCTCCTGAGTGCTGGGATTACAGGCATGTGCCACCATGCCTGGCATTATTTTTTTTTTTTTGAGACAGGGTCTCATTATATAGCTCTTGCTGCCCTTGAACTCACTATGTAGCTCAAGCTGGCCACAAACTCAACAGTCCTCCTACTTCAGCCTCCTGAATGCTAGAATTATAGGCATGTGCTACCATGGCTGCCAATTTTTAATTTATTTTTTGCAGTACTGGGGATTTAACCCAAGGTCTTGGACCTGATGGGCAAGCACTCTACTATTGAACCCTTTTTTTAAAACTTCATTTGAGACAAGGTCTCACTAAGTTGCCTAGGCCAGCCTTGAATTTTTTTTTTTTTGGTAGCAGGATCGAACCTAGGGACCTTGTGCTTGCAAAGCAGGCAACAGAACCACTGAGCTAAATCCCCGACCCTAAGCCTTGAATTTTTGATCCTCCTGCCTCAGCCTCCTGAGCAGCTGGGATTACAGACATTTCCTGTTCCCACCCCACTTGTCTCTCTGTCTTTTACTCTCTCTTTGCTTCTCTTCTTGCTCAAAAATTCTTTTCTTAGTTTGTCTCCTTCCATCTCTTTGTATATCAACATTTAAACTTTGAAAACTTGGGGCCGGGGATTTAGCTCAGTGGGTCTGGCTCCTGCCTTGCAAGTGCAAGGTCCCCAGTTCGATCCCCGGTACCAAAAAAAACTTTGAAAACTTAGCATGTAGAAAGGCTGATTTAAAGATACCAAACTTACATCCAGGGGTGCAGTTCAGTGTAACACTTGCCTAGCAGCTTGAGGCCCTGGCTTCAGTTGCCAGCACTGCAAAAAGTAAAAGCATGAAAATAAAACAAAGATACCCAAGTTTGATTACTTCCATCCATAACATAAAGTACTAAGATTGTAAAGTTTAGTTTTAGAAATAATGTGATTTCGGGTTATTGTTCTTGATTTCACAGTGAGTTCTATGAGTATCATGCCCTGATGATGGAAGAGGAGGGAGCCGTGATCGTCGGGCTGCTAGTTGGCCTGAATGTGATCGATGCCAATCTGTGTGTGAAGGGAGAGGATTTAGATTCCCAAGTAAGTGCACGTAGCTAGTGCCACACGCAGTTTGGAGTTTCCTTGATGCAGGTTGCTCTAAGTTGCTAATGGTCTGTTAAAACACTAAAGAAAGATGGAAGAGTGAAGTTCTAGTTGCATGTTAGTGGGCCTTCTGATAAGGTATTATTTCTCCCTTTAAACAAAAATAACTTTATTTACTTCAGGTTGGAGTGATTGATTTTTCCATGTATTTAAAGGATGAAGAAGATATTGGAAACAAAGAAAGGTATGATTTTTCCTAAGTTCTTTCACATGTTGTATTTTTTAATACAGCCCTTCACATATTGGTTTGACATCCATTCATTTACTCTGTATGTGTGTGTGTTTTGAACTTCTTGCTTTGTTTCATTTTCATTTCCTTTAAAAGCTTTACAAAACAAATAGGGAAAAATCAGTTAAAAGAAGGTGACTCTAATACGAAGTCAGATTTTTGGTCATACCTGTGAGACCTGTTTTAATAGCTGTGTTTTGTGCTAATGGTAGTTATTTCAAGATCTAATTGTATTTAAAATACACTGATATGTAAAGCCTAGTATTAGCAAGCAATTTACTCAACAAAGGTTATAGTTATTTAGCACATAGCTTACTGCTAAGTGATTACAGAGGTTCTTGAATTTTAGTCAGGTGTGGTGATGCACACCTGTAATCCCAGGGTTGTGGGAGTCTGAGTCAGGAGGATGGCTAGTTCAAGCCCAGTCTGGGAGACTTAGCAGGGGTTTGGGGCTTAAAAAGGGCTGAGTAAAGCTCAATGTGAAGGTCCTGGCTTTGATCCCTAGCACCACCAGAAGCAAAAAAGACTGTTGAATTTTGTTTTGGATGATTTAGTACTTTTTTAACCTTTCCAACTATCACAAAGCTGCTCCCTTTGCCCCAGAAATATTCAGATTGCTGCCATCTTGGACCAGAAGAATTATGTTGAAGAATTAAATAGACAGCTCAAGTAAGTATTGCAGGTACTTAACATATTTATATTGTCTTAGGCGTTCGTTTTGTTTTCAGTTTAACATATTTATATTGTCTTAGGCGTTCGTTTTGTTTTCAGTTTAACCCTGTTCCTTTCTTCCAATAGAAAGGTTTTGAGGGGAGAGAACAGAAATTAAGAACACAAAGAAGTACTGGAGAGAATTTGTTTTCAGCAGAAAATGAGAATCTGATTTTAAATAGAACCTTCATTAAATTTAGATAGAATTTTAAAACTTGTCCCTGTACCCTAGAAAAAAAAGCCTAGGTGAGGTGACATTCATGCCATTTGGATGGTTCAGAGCTCATTTTTCCTGCCTCAAAGGGTTGTGTGTGTAAATGCAGCTTTTGTGTTCCGGGTGGAAATTTCTCCTCTTCCCGTCAGCTCACAGAAGCCATCGGAGGCTGCTGTGGCTGAGGAGTGCAAAACTGCACAAAGCAGAAACAGTGCGAGAGATGGAGGCATTGAGTGTCTGCTAACCACATCAGGATTTTTTTTTTTTATGGTATCAGGGATCGAACTCGGGTCCTTGCGCATGCGCAGCAGGCGGCGAAACCACTGAGCTAAATTCCCGGCTCCACATCAGCATTTTTAAATGAGTAGTTTAGTTGATCCATCATGTCCTAAATATTATCTCAACATCAGTATAAAATTAAGATATTTTGCTTTTGGGGGCACTTTCTTCAGAACCGGCTGTGTATTTTATGTATGATGCACCTTGCAATTCGGACTGGCTATATCGTGAGGGCTTTGTAGTGACGTGTGGCTCATGGCTACCGTATTATTACTACATAATTAGAAATGGGCTAGGGCCGGGGATTTAGTTCAGTGGTTCCTCCGCCTGCCTCACAAGCGCAAGGTCCCGAGTTTGATCCCAGGTACCAAAAAAAAAAAAAAAGAAAGAAAGAAATGGGCCATTCTCATCAATTAAACTTAAGAATTAGTGAAAGTGGCTTTCTCTGGGTGATGAGATTATGAATAATTAGGAATAATTTTATTTCATTCTTTGTAATTTTTTGTATTTTCTGAGTTCTACTCAAAGAACATTGTATTACAATCAGAAAACAAAATTAAACTTTTTTCCCATTTTACAAAAAGAAACCAGTTATAAAAATAGGAAAGACTTTATCAGTGCCTTTTTTTAAATCATGGAATTTTAATAATAAAAATCATAGGAAACACATGTATATTTTGTAATTTGTGTTTCTGAAGTTGTATTTTTGAATGCAACCCTGTATTGCATATATAGTAGTTATAAACTTTCACCCTTTGGGAGCAGGCAATACCTTCACACAGTTCAAATTTAGAGCACACAGAAAGCACCTGGGGGGGTGCTCCTTTGCCCTGACCTGGATCCATCTGGTTTCCCTGCTCACAAGTCCCTGGCACACTAGTTCTTGTGTTGCTTTAGCGCTCATGTATGATGATGAGCAGTGATGTGCGTGTTGGTTCTTCCATCTCCCCTCCTCCCTGTAGTTTATATAGTATAAGGTCACCTACTTTCATGCCATTCTGTGTGTTACTATTTTTGTTTGTTTGTTTGTTTGTTTTTGGTACCGGGGATGGAACTTGGGACCTTGCTGCCTGCCAGGCAGGTGCTGGAGCCACTGAGCTAAATCCCCGCCCCGTGTCCCTATTTTCACTCAGCAGTTTTCAAGTCCATTCTGTTCAGTTTAAAAGAGCTTTCTTGTCCTCAGTCTTTTGTTTTTGTTTTTTTTTGGTACCGGGGATCAAACTTAGGTCCTTGCGCTTTCGAGGCAGGTGGCGGAACCACTGAGCTAAATCCCCGGCCCTGTCCTCAGTCTTTTCAATCACATGTATTAGCCACTGATCAATACCAATGTTTTACTTTTTATACTTTATTTTAAAATGTTTTTTCTTTTTTCTAATAGACAGTAAGTAGTTATATACATTTAAAATATTTCAAAAATACAAAGAAGTAGAAAACATAGAACTTAAAAAAAGAAAGGAAAAAAATAGAACCCACCTATTATCCCTTACTCAAAGAAAACCACTATTGAGGTTTGTTTTCAGAGTGGGTTTTTGGCCATCACGGTATTGATTTTCACGTAAGAGCAAGGCAAATGTCATCCAGTTTTATGCAAAGGAAACCAAAGCTCAGAAAGGTTTTACAGCTGTCAAGGTGACACAGTTAGAAAGTACAAAGACAGGTCCTGTAACCTTGATCTTTCTTCTCCCTGTCCTGTGCTTGTCTATGTCACCATTGAGATGCCTTGGAGCTATTTGTGAAGTAACTCAAGTTGTTGACCTAAAAGTATTTATATTTTTTTAAATGATGTAATATGAATGGAAAAATTTTAATTTCACCAACCTAAAATACCAATATTTTTTCTTCTTTTTTTTGGTACCAGGGATTGAACTTGGGTCCTTGTGCTTGTACAGTGGGTGGCGAAACCACTGAGCTAAATCCCGGCCCACCAATACTTGAGGCTGGTATTCTATTATAGATAGTGTTACAATGAAGCATATTACATTTTATTGTGGAAAGGTTCTTGAAGGTAGCATAAGAAGGCCTTGGACAACAGACCTAACACCATGTATAATAATGTTTGTTTTTGCCAGGCATGGTGGTGCACACCTGTAATCTGAGAATTTGGGAGGCTGAGGCAGGAAGATTGCCATGAATTTGAGGCTAGCCTGGGTCCATAGAATTCACAGCCAGCCTGGACTGCATAATGAGACCCTGTCTCAAAAAGTCAGAAAGCAGTAATAATGATAATGTTTACTTTTGGTTGATATAAACAAAAAATGCAAAAACCAAATGTATTTACTTGAGACGATATCCTTGGGACACAGGGTGTCCAGCTGCAGGCTGAACTGTACCCAGTGATGAATCTCATTTATATTTCTAAAGCTACGGGGGACTTTGAAAGTTTCTGTTATTATGAAAATAGAGAGGGGAAAGATTGTGACTTGAATTGAAGGCCATTATTTATATTCTTATTTAAGCCCCACAGTGACAGAATGTATATTTAAAGTTCATCCTTTTAAAAATAATTTAAAATATAATTTTAACAATATTCAGTGATCTTTGTGTGGAATTTTTATTCTCAGCATCAGTAAGAATAACCCCAACAAGACAATAAGTTATGAGCAGCACCACGTGGAATTGTAATAGGTGTTCTGATTCTTGGGCCAGGATGGAGCTCAGTGGTGCAGCGCCTGCCTGGCAAGCGCGAGGCCCTGAGTTCAATTCCCGGTACCAAAAAAAAACCCTGATTCTTTTCCTGCAGTTTTCCTTGCTATTCTAAAAGGGGAAAGATTTATTTGATCTAAAGAGAAACCAGAGTATTTCCTTGCTATTCTAGCCAAATCAGATTATGCAGGTTAATTGGATTTCCCACAGCCAGAAACCTGTTGAGGGTAGTTGGTGCATACTGTTGCCTGAGTCTGGGATGACATACTTTTGTTGCTTTTGTGAGATGGCAGGATTCTGAATGAGTTTTTCTTTGTTAATTTCAGCAGCACGGTCAGCAGCCTGCATACAAGAGTTGACTCGTTAGAAAAGTCAAACACTAAGCTGATTGAAGAGGTATTGTCACCCTGTAATTGTTTTTCATGGACCTACTACTTGTCATCCTTTTCCATTTTAAGTATGAATTCATTAAGTGTGGGCTGGAGTCCTCCCTCTCTCCCTCTCTCTCTCCTCACAGTGGAATGCTTGTAATTGATGATCATAAGTTCTAGAGAAACTATGTATTCTTAGACAAATCCTCAGTTGTGTGACTCTCTGCGACATACTGTTATTTGAAATAATTCTAGAAACAAGTCCTCAGAGGTGGAACTCACACAAATTCTTGTACACGTAAGCTGTGATTCTCATTTTAAAATCTGGGTGACTGTATTAGACAGTGGAATGACAAGTAGTTGGAAACCCTTGTTAAAATGGCTCTGTCCCCACTGTTCCACCAGTTGACTTACTGCTCTTCACTAGCATCACTGCATGATTATGCCAACCTTTACTCTACTCTCTCATATGTGAAATTCCTCTTTTCTGCTTTGGTTTCCTTCGTTGCAAAAGTGGCTATCCAGGGCCCTGGATTTAGCTCAGTGGTTCCACCACCTGCCTCAAAAGTGCAAGGTCCCAAGTTCAATCCCTGGTACCAAAAACAAAACAACCAAAAAAGTGACTATGCAGTGGTCCCAGTGCTCCTTTAAAGAGGAACCAGTGGCTGGGTGTGTTGGTGCACATCTGTAATCCCAGCACTCTGGGAGCCTCAGCAGGAGGATTTCAAGTTGGAGCCCAGCCTGGGCAACTTAGTACTTAGAGAGTCCATGTCTCAAAATAAAAAAATAAAAAATGGGCCAGGAATGTAGCCTAGTGCAGAGGCCCTGAGTTCAATCCCCAGTACCACAAGGAAAAAAACCAGAAATTTATCTTGGTTCTCTTTTTAATACTATTTGTAGAGTTACTTTTTTAGATAAGTTTAAAAAAGGATGGGGCCCGGGATTTAGCTCAGTGGCACTGCGCCTGACTCGTGAGTGCAAGGTCCTGATGCCCGGTACCAGGAAAAAAAAAAAAAAGACTATCAAATCAAAGAATTATTGGTTCATATTTGCAGAATTATTTAGGCCAGAGGAAGGAGCCTGTTATTTTAGTGTTATTTAGTGAGCTCTATCTTCCATGTTAATTAAAATTCTTCTTTTAGAATTGACCTGATTTTTCCAAAACCAGGGAACACGTGGTAATTTGCGTGTTTATAGTTAAGAATGCATCTTTTTTTTTTATGAGATATTTATTAAAATAACACATTTAGGGGGCTGGGGATTTAGCTCAGTGGTTTCACCACCTGTTGCACAAGCACAAGGACCCGCGTTTGATCCCCAGTACCAAAAAAGTAAATAAAATAACACATTTAGGGAAAAAAATCAATACAGTGTATACATCATTACTGAAAACTGTATATCATCAGACAAAAAAGGATTTTATTTTGGGAAGCTGATTTCTAATTTATGGCCAGTTTTACTTTCAGAAATAGAACCACAAGCGGGGGATTTAGCTCAGTGGTTTTGCCGCCTGCTGCACAAGTGCAAGGACCCGAGTTCGATTGCCGGTACCAAAAAAAAAAAAGAAATAGAACCACAGAACAAAACAATCTAATTCAACCTTAAAGGCTGGCATGCTGAGCAAGGAATGTTCTTATTCTTTGTAGGAGTTCCTTCTTTACACTGTCAGGTACCAGGGCTCTGCCTTTTGGAGTGCTTTCGGCCACCAAGAAATCAACAGTAACGAGGTCTAGTCCTTTTTCTTTAATTACCTCTTTACAGTGTGCCTTCAACTGATCCTTCCAGCCACATTCAATTAATTTAGCTCACAGCAACTCTTTGAGGCGTTCTTTCTCCAGTTTCTATTAACTTTTGGTTAATCGCTGCTCTCATCTGTGCATCTTTGTTCTTGCTAACCATACTCTTTGCCTGCCTGGACTTAGACCCTCAGTAGCTCAGGGACCTAAGCATACAGAAAGCTAGAATACTCATTTCCGGGGCGGGGTCTCGCCACCTTGCCTATAATGTGAGACTTTTTAAGAATGCATCTTTATTTTCATGTTTGGACTCCTGATGGGGACTGGTGTAGAGCTGCTGACTAAATGGTACCTCTTTTTTTTTTTGGTACCTCTTTTTTTTTTGGTACCAGAAATCGAACTCGGGTCCTTGTGGTTGCGCAGCAGGCAGCGAAACCACTGAGCTAAATCCCCAGCCCTTGTGGTACCTCTTCTTGACCTTAGGTGCACTGGGAAGTTTAACACAGTCACAGTGGGGCCATATGTGTATGACTGCCCCATGGGGCGGCTTGTGTAGTCATGCATGTCCCACTGGTAGTTCAAGCCAGTGGGGACGGGTTAAGTTATAGCCCAGTCAATGGGGAAAAAATAAGAACCAAGATGCATTATATGTAAAGGTACAATTCCCAATGAGAAGTGTAATTGTGTTGTATACCTACAATGTACCAATAAAAGAATTTAATAAACTGCAAAAAAGAAAAAGTTATAGCCTAGTAAAGGGTTTGGAATTATTAATTCCAAGTAAACTTATATTGCTTTTTTGAGACAGGAACTCACTATGTAGCCCAGGCTGTCCTCAAACTCACAGCAATCCTCCTGCCTCAGCCTCCCAAGTGCTAGGATTACAGACATGTGCCACCAGGACCAGCTTCTAGGATCCCTCTTTTTATTATGGGCCTTAGATCCAAGCCACCTACTCATTCATGTTTAACTGTGATAGTAAGAGTGCTTTTATGTCAGTCCCAAGCTCCTATTCCTGGTCCAGAACCACAGGACATTCTGTTCTGTTCCCATGAGTATGCGTTACATTTTCAGAGATAGCAAAACTTTCTTTCTTGTACATGTTGTGTCTTACCCAAGTCTGTACAGTATTGTTTATCACATAATTTTTAGATGCTTAGGTATTTTGTATTCAGGACATAATGAAAATATGGTAAGCATAATATGTTTAAAAATAACAAAGTACCTAAAATGTACCAATAAAAGAATGTAAGAAAAAAAAAAAATAACAAAGTATAGGACCGGGGATTTAGCTCAGTGGTTTCGCTGCCTGCTGCGCAAGCGCAAGGACCCAAGTTCGATTCCCAATACTAAAAATAAAAAAAAATAAAAATAACAAAGTATAATGTGATTCAACTACAAGGGGCCGGGGATTTAGCTCAGTGGTTCCACCACCTGCCTTGCAAGTGCAAGGACCCAAGTTCGATCTCTGGTACCAAAAAAAAAAAAAGTACACAGGAAATCTGAAATAACACGTTTGTATTATGAAAGTTTCTGTCAACATAAGAGACTTTTGCTGGTTGTAGGATTTTATATTTTGTTGTTTATAAGCCATGAACGTAATCTGTAAAGCAAGTATAACTAAAGATGTTCCATTTTTTTCTTGTCCCTGTTTCATAATTTTAGTTAGCAATAGCAAAGAATAACATCATTAAGCTCCAAGAAGAAAACCATCAATTACGAAGTGAAAATAAGCTGATTTTAATGAAAACACAGCAGCACCTGGAGGTGAGTGTGGTTCGATCTGTCGGAAGAGCTGGGCCAGGAGCTCCTGCTTCCAGGACTTCTTTGAACCTGTGCTGCATTGGCGATACTTGTGACTGTAAAGTAGGAAGCCGGCTGTTTTCTTCCTAGGTCACCAAAGTGGACGTGGAGACTGAGCTGCAGACATACAAGCACTCTCGGCAGGGGCTGGACGAGATGTACAACGATGCCCTGCGGCAGCTTCGAGATGAGTCCCAGTTACGGCAGGTCGCTCCCCTGCGGTTGCTTTAGCAGAACTCTGCAGATCTCTTGCAGCCTTGTCTTTTTAAATGTGGGACAGCAAACTCCCCACATATTCTCAGTCTCTAAGCTCTCGCCCTGAGAGTGTTTTCAAACTGTGAGTTATGTTCGAGCCAGGTGTGGTGGCACAAATGTGTAATCCCAGCACTCAGGAGGCTGAGGCAAGAGGATCACTGCAAGTTTGAGGCCAGCCTCTGCTATATAGTGAGTGCAAGGTCAGCCTGAACTGCATAGTGAGACCCTGTCTCAAAAAAAAGAAAAAATAGTTTTGAGTTATCTTTGGTCTTATACAGGCTGATTCATTTGCTTTTACTTGAAAATACTGAATTTCTGAGGCATAAAAGTACTTAATTCTGGAACCATTAGAGTAGTGATGATTAACAGAATCTAAAAAATGCTTTCCTTTTAGCAAAAACTACATTTGAAACTATAAAATTATGTTATAGGTCTGGTTGATTGTCATTAGTGGACTTAAAAGGAGTGGTTAGTGGGAAATCTGTCCTCATTAACTGTCTCACATCTGATTTTGACACCCTAAGTGGCATGGGAATTGAAGATGTGTTGAAATTGCAGGAGGTGGAGAATGAGCTGTCTGTACAAGTCAGTATGAAGCATGAGATCGAGCTTGCCATGAAGCTGCTGGAGAAAGATATCCATGAAAAACAAGACACTCTGATAGGCCTTCGCCAACAGCTAGAGGAAGTCAAAGCCATCAACATAGAGATGTATCAAAAGCTCCAGGTAAAGACTATTCCAAAGTTCTTGCAGTGTTTGTTTGTTTGCATTCTAGGAATTGAACCCAGGGCCGCATGCATGCTAGGTAAATGCATTTCTACTGAGTTATGCCCCCAGGCTGACTTCTTTTTATATAAATGGAAAATTGTAGGAAGTATATGGTTTTTAAGCCATTCTAACTGTGCATATTGGTTATAAAACCCAGTGTCTATTTTCTTTGTTTTTCCTAGATAGAAGCTTAAGAAATGTGATGTGGGCTGTGAGGTAGCTCAGTGGGAGATTGCCCAGCCCGGATGAAGATCTGGGTTGGATCATCAGCACCACCAAAAAAAAGAAAAAAAGTAATAAAGATACATCAAAGGACAAACAAAAACCCTTATGGGAATTTATTTTTTATTTTTGGTGCTGAACGTTGAACCCAGAGCTTTGCACATGCTAAGCATACACGCTACCACTGAGCTACACCCCAGGCCTGAATTTGTTTCTTGTTTTTTGGTACCAGGGATTGAACTCGGGACCTTGCACTTGCGAGGTAGGCGGTGGAACCACTGAGCTAAATCCCCAGCCCGACATAATCTTTATACTGTCAGCTTTTCAGCATTATGAAACAATTCAGGGAGCCAGGGATTTAGCTCAGTGGTTCCACCACCTACCTTGCAAGTGCAAGGTCCCGAGTTCGATCCCTGGTACAGAAAGAAAAAAAAATTATGTCTTTGGGGAAAACTCTAAATCTAAATATGCACAGCATTTTGATAAACTTCCTTATACAGTATGGTCCTGAGAAAGTTGTGATTTTGATTGAAATGCTTGTCTTCCAAAAACAATGAAATCTTTTTTATTTATTATTTTTGGAATGAAGACTAGTAACAGTATATCATAGTTATTTTAATGTACAAAGTAATTCTGCTCATTTCAAAGTAACGGTCCCACTGCAAAAGACTTATAAACATTCAATTTTAAAAATCTGAACCACTATAGCTTTTACATTTTTATAAATAGGGCTCTGAAGATGGCTTGAAAGAAAAAAATGAAATAATCGCCCGACTAGAAGAAAAAACCAATAAAATTACTACAGCCATGAAACAGCTGGAACAAAGGTACAGCATTTCCAATACTAGTTTCTTTTTGTTCCCCCTCTCCCCTTTTTCTTTATTCAACTCTCGACTCCTGCCACAGAAACCATTAGGAAGTAGAGATTAGGATGTGTTTTTTGTTTAAGCCAAGCAGAATTTGCATGTAATTTCAGTTGCTTTATATTAGGTTGATTTGTTTGAAGTTACCATCTTGTAGATTTTTTTAAAAGGCCTAATATCAGCAATTTTCTGTGGTTCAATCTATGACAAAACAAATACACAAAAACCCGGAAAAATTATAAATGAACAAAATACATGGTGGGATTATCCCTGATTGAGCTTCATGCATATTGATTGTCATATCCTTTGCCATTCACCATCTCCGTATCTGAAATCAAGCATCCTGAACAAGCAGTTTAGTTCACTTTCTTTGAGCCAGGTCCCTCAACTCAACCCAAGATACAATTTTGTTTAAATTGAATCGTTTTATATTGGCATTTTTCACTTTTATTGTTGGAAAATGTAATGTATTCCATTACCCTGTCATGTTGGTGTCGACATATGTCTTACCATTGCTTTCTTTGAATCTACCTATGAAAAACATAACTATTAATGCTTTATTGACATGAATATTCTTTTATTGACATCCTCTTTCTTCTTTTTTCTTTTTTTTCTTTATCCCCATTTTTACATTTTGGACATCTTTCTGTCCTTTTTCTGTCTTTGATTTCTGTTCATTCCATCGTGAAGTGACAATGATTTGTTAACACAAACTAGGATGATTGCAATGTCATTGGTGAAGTGTGCCGGCAGTGACACTCAGGACCAGTACAAGCTGGTCAAGGACATCTCTTTCTGAAAGCCACCTGCGCCTAGGCAGACTAAAGGGAAACCCACGCTCAGCTAGGATGTCAGATAGAAAAGAATAGTCGCTAGGAGGGCCTCAGAGGCTTTCTCATCTTCTGCCTGGGCAGTATATTGCCAAGGGCAGAGCCTTGTACTTGGGTTTCCATAAACACATTCCTCACACCTTGTGCCCAGGGCTGAGGGCAGCAGTGACCATTTGGAGGTCCGGTTTCCAGATATAGTTCTATCTTTTCAGCTACTTTTTGATGGAAAATATAGAAATTGTTTAAAAATAAGTTCTCCTTGGTTTCACATGTGTTGGCACAGATGTCTCCCCCGACCCTACCCTAGCCTGCTCTTTGCCTAAGGATTCCCTAACTTCTATTTTTAATATGCTTTAAAATAGTTCCCCGGGCCAGGGATTTAGCTCAGTGGTTCCACTGCCTGCCTCGCAAGTGCAAGGTCCTGAGTTCAATCCCCTGTACCAAATAAAATAAAATAGTTTCTGACCCAGACTGGCCATCATCCTGTGCTTTGGGCCCTCAGCTCCCAGTCCCCTCTCCCCTCTTCTGTGATAGCACAGCTTCAGGGCCTACCTCACTCTTTCATTTTACTTTCCATGACCTTAGGAGAAAAGCTTGGATCCACCCCCATTGCCTTAACATTTTAATTTTAAGTTTAAACTTGGAGATCACTTAAATGTTAATCTCTTTTCCTTGAAAGCAGCATTTATATTCCTGAAATACCTGAGGGTTGCCCCATGAGTCTGATTTGAAGCAGAAAGGGAGAGGCAGGGCTTTTGGTTAGCTAAACCGAAGCGTCCCCTGTGGTTCCTTCCAAGGAACTGACGTCTCTTGAATCTTGGGAAATATTTTCTTATAAAATACTGAAGTTAAATGTCAGAAGTCTTGATGGCCAAGAGGGGTGGAGAGAGGAGCTAAGCCCTGGGACAAGCAGTGATTTGCTAATAAAAACAGAAAAAGTAAAAATCACATTTTTAAGCTAATCTTTAATATTTAATGTTGAGGGGAAAATGACCTCTAGAAAATGAAGTGGAATAGCACTAGATTCTTTTTGAATGTTAAAAAATATGCATACACACATGCGCATATACAAAGCTTTGGCGTCATTTAGTAACTATGTAACAGTCCTGTTCCTTGGAGTGATTGTAGGCCTCTGCTCTGCTGTAGCAGTCTGGACTCCTGGCCTCTACATCTTAGCATAACAAATACCAGGTGGCCTCTTCGCCTGCTTAGACACACACGCTATGCTTTTCACGGTTTTGTCAAAAGGCAGTAACATACCTACTATACTTTGGAGTTTGTTCGCTCTGCTCCAGATAATTGTAAAGTCTGTATTGCTTTGCACTGTTAATCATGAGCAAGAAATAAACAAATTTGAAGATAGTATTCCAGGCATATTATATGTTGTGTTGAAAAAAAAATCACAAAACAATTTTGAGACATTGTGTGGCTCTTTCACATTTGAGTTTGTGAGTTTTCCCCCAAACTTTGTTTTCATTTAGAAATGTTTCTATTTCCCCATTTTTCTTTTATTTGTCTTCTTCACCCTTTTACACCCTAGTTCTAGCCTCAGTTTTACCCAAAGTTGATTTGAATTACACCAGATTGCAGCAAGCAGAGAAGGCGCAAACAGAAGCGGAAGGCGAGGATGAGAAGTATTTGCAGGAGTGTCTCAGCAAGTCGGCCAGCCTGCAGCAGCGCATCATGCAGAAGGAGAGGCAGCTGTGAGTGTCGCTCTGGGGGGGTGGGGATGCCTGACCCATCCCCAATTTTTGCACATAATGATAGAATACCAAAGTTTTTATTTACCCGATGACGCCAGCTAGTACATCCACTTTAGAAATCAAGAAAAGGTTGAGCTGGGGACGTAGCTCAGTGGTAGAGCGCTTACCCAGTGTTTAAGAGGCCCTGGGGTTCTGACCCAACCATATGCACGTGTGTGTGTGTGTGTGTGTGTGTGTGTGCGCGCGCGCGCACACACACACGGAAAATATAATTGATATATTTTGTGTTTACTTATGTTTTTATTCCTTTTGGGGGGAGGTATGAGGCAGGGTCTCCCTTTGTAGTTCAGGCTGGCCCCGAACTCACTATGTAGCCCAGGCTGGCTTCAAACTTGTGGCGATCTTCCTGCCTCAGCCTCCTGAATGCTGGGAGTACAAGTGTGCACCACCACGCCTGGCTGTTCTATTCTATTTATTTATTTTTTGGTACTGGGGATTGAACTTGGGTCCTTGGGCTTGCGCAGCAGGTGGCAAAACCATTGAGCTAAATCCCCGGCCCCTGGCTATTCTATTTATTTTGGGGGGGGGGGCGGGTACCAGGGATCAAACTCAGGTCCTTGCACTTGTGCAGCAGGCGGTGAAACCACTGAGCTAAATCCGTGGCTCAGTACTTATTATTTTTTTATTTTTTATTTTTTTGGTACTGGGGATCAAACTCGGGACCTTGACCTTGTGCAGCAGGTAGCGGAACCACTGAGGCAAATCCCCAGCCCTATTCTATTTATTTACAGACCACTTTCAACTCCCTCTTGCTGTCTTCCCTTAGAAAATTTTATTCTTTCTGCTGTTAACTTTAAGCTGTTGCTATTAGGTATTGTGTATAATAAGGGGTGGTGTTTTTTTTTTTTTTTTTGGTGGTGCCGAGAATTGAATCCAGGGCCTTCATGTTGAGCCACATCTCCAGCCCTTTTTAAAATTTTTGAGACAGGGTCTCACTGTGTTGCCCTCAGCCTCCCAAAGTCTGGCATTACAGGTGTGTGCAAGCCTTTATAACCACAAGTTTATATCATCATAGAACATGCAGTTTTCTGAGAACACTTTTGTTAATATTTTATATGACCTATGTAGCACAACTAGGAAGGATGTCAGTATATGATACTGAGTTTAACTGCAGACTTTTTTTTGTTTTTGTTTTTTTGGTACCAGGGATCGAACTCGGGGCTTGCGCTTGCGAAGCAGGTGCCAGAACCACTGAACTAAATCCCCGGCCCGATCCTGAATTTAAAAAGAACAGGTTTGGCTGGGAATGTAGCTCAGTGGCATGATGCCTGCCTAGCAAGCAGAAGGTCCTGAGTTCGATTTCTGGTACCAAAAAAATTTTTAAAGGTTTGAAAAGAAAAGAAAAAAGAAAAAGAAGAGGTTTGCAGTCAGGTTGCCAAGTATTATTCCATTTTTAATAAAAGTAATGAAAACCATTAAATATATATTCACATGAACACAGAAAAGTGGTGGGGTTTTTGTGTTATTTGTTTTTGAACGTACTGGGGATTGAACCCAGCCCTCAAACTGCTAGGCACACATTTACCACTGAGCTACATCCCAGCTCCTTTTATTTTTTTTTTGTGGTACTGGGGATCGAATTCAGGACCTTGCGCTTGCAGTGCAGGCATGGTGCTACTGAGCTAAATTCCCGGCCCATAGCTCCTTTTATTTTGAGATAAGGTCTCATTAAATTGCCTGGGCTGGGTGCAAACATATAATCCTCCTGCCTTGGCCTACCAAGTAGCTGGTGTAATAGGAATGTGCTATGCCTAACTTGATTTGAAATATGAATTCTAAAATTTAAGCTGGCACAACGTTGCATGCCTGTAATCTCAGCTACTTGGGAAACAGAATCATGAAGATTACAAGTTCAAGGCCAGCCTGGGCAATTTACTGAGATGAGACCTTGTCTTAAAATGAAAAAGAAAGAAAAGCTGGAGGTATAGCTCAGTGCAAAGGCCCTAGGTTTAACCCCTAGTACTGTAATAAATAAAATCTAAAATATTTTCCAGTAGGAAATATGTGGCTATAAATGGAAATGGCTAGCTATGAGAAAACAATAAGAATACAAAGAAGAACAAAAATATTAAAATGCTATTGTGATTCTGTGATCTGCTTAATATTATGAGATTTAGGGCCAGGGATTTAGCTCAGTGGCACCACGCCTGCCTCGCAAGTGCAAGGTCTTGAGTTCAATCTCCAGTACCAAAGAAAATAAATAAATAAATAAATAAATAAATAAATAAATAAATAAATAAATAAAAAAAAAAAAAGAATATTATGAGATTTAATATTAAAATTGAAATGTAAATTATTAGAAACTAGTATTATTAGAATATGTGCTTTGTTATACCCACTTACGAGCAATAATAAGGGAAACATTTTAGTGGGGGATCAGTCTGAAACACAGGACCTCAGCTGGGCCTAGGGGGACAGCCGTAACCGCAGCCCTTGGAGGCAGAGTCAAGATTGCAAGTTTGAGGCCAGCCTGGGCCACATAATGAGACCTCGACTCAAAAAAAAAACAAAAAGAAAAGGTAGGGCTTTGCTTTCGTTTTGTCAGCTGGGCCCTATTGCCGGAGAGACATAGCAGTGCTTTCCTGAGAGCCGGCATCGTCAGGCAGTGTAGACTTTTCCTCAGTGTCTCCTGATCTTAGATGGGGCAGGTAATCAATCGGTCAGCTTTGAATAGTAATCCACAGATTAGCACTCCATACCAGGACTGATTTTGTTATTACTGATCTTAAATTGAATTAGCAGTTGCTGCAATTGTCATGAATAATCATTAGTTATTTGTGTAAAAAAAAAAAAAATTCATGGAGCACAGAACCTACTTAGTCAATTCCCTGTATTGCTGCCCTCAGTCCCACTGGGCCGTTTTTCACAGATGAGCTCACCCTTCTCTGGCATTTGCTGTGGCCCAGCGCTTGGGGACAGGAGGGAAGGCCAGAGGTGAGGTCCTGTGTATGGTGTACCTTGTACACTAAAAATACTCTTGCCCGCAATACCTGCAGAAGGCATTATGAGGCCAGAGCAGGCGAGCAGAGACGCTCAGGGGAGGGGACAGCGGCCGAGCTCTGTGTTGCTGTCTTCCAGGGTGCAGCTGGAAACCGACCTTAAGATTGAGAAGGAGTGGAGGCAGACACTTCAGGAAGACCTTCAAAAGGAGAAGGACGCCTTATTTCAGCTCCGAAACGAGACCCAACAGATCATCAGTCTTAAAAAAGTTAGGAGTGGAAAAATTTGAAATGTTAAATGTTAACTTACTTTAAAAGATAATTTATATAACCTACATTTATACGAGGAAATAGGATACAGTGAACTCTTGACTTATGAACTCAATTCCTTTGGGAGGGCTGGTTGTAACTCAGGTGGGTCAGTTGCCTTCAAAGTCTCTCCTGTATAATCTTAGGCTGTACCTTCTTCCAGGCAGATCTTAGTGTGCTTAGAGAGACATTGGCCCAGGATTTCTCAATTAACCCCACAGGAAAGGATGTTGTAATGTTCCTTCCAGAACTCTTTATAAGGGTCAATATTTATCTGAGACCATTGTAACTCAAAACTTTGTAAGTTAAAACTAAAATTCTAGTGGTAACCCAAGTTATTCATTGTATGTCAGGTCAGTCATAACTTGAGTGTCCACTGTATAGTACTCATCTGAAGGAGTAGAATATAGTAAGGAGATTAAAGGAAGAGAAAATAGTTGATACAGCAGGTAGAGAAAAAAAAAAGGCTGGGTGTGATGGTGCACACCATGACCCTAGCACTCAGGTGGCTGAGGCAGGAGGATCACCCCAAGTTCTGAGGCCAGCCTGGACTACATAGGGAAATCCTATGTAGACACCAAAACATACAGCAGATAGGAAAGGGCTTTGGGCACATAGTTGTGTTTCTTATAAAAAGCTCAAGATTATTGATTTCTTCCTAATTAATGGTATATATACAATCTAGCTTGTTTCTTTTAAATTGCATTTTCTCTTTTATTGTTTTGAAGGAGTTCCTTAATCTCCAGGATGAAAATCAGCAGTTGAAAAAAATATATCATGAACAAGAACAAGCTCTTCAAGAACTCGGCAACAAACTTAGCGAGTAATTTCCATTTTCCTTTAATTAAGTAGTCATTAACTCTTATAAAGGAATGAATGTACCAAACCAATTAGATAGAAAAATTTAAATACAAGAAAAAGATAGGAACTATTAAAGAAAACAACAAAAAAGTTAAAGATTAAAAAATAAGCCAGGTGTGGTCGGGCACGCTTGTAATCTCAGCACTCAGGAGGCTGAAGCAGGAGGATTGCTGTGAATTGGAAGCAAGCCTGGGCTACATAGTGAATACAAGGCCAGTCTGAACTACATAGCAAGACCTTGTCTCAACAAACCTGATGTGTGGCCAGGTGTTTGGTGTAAGCTTAGAAAGGTTAATTTACTGAATGTACCACAGACACATTTACAAATAATTTACTTTTAATACAGATAACTAAAAATAAAAAACTACAGTGGCCCATAATCCATTCACCTTTATAAAATTCTTTGCTGTTTTACAGTTATAAAGTTAGCACAAAAAAGGTACAAAATTAGAGCCAGGCATGGTGACACACGCCTTAATCCCAGTACTAGGGAGGTTGAGGCAGGGGATCACTGCAAATTAGAAGCCAGCCTGGACTACCTAGTGAGTTAAAGGCCAGCCTGAACTACATAGCAAGACCCTGTATCACCATCCCCCCCCCCCACAAAAAGGTACAAAATTAAAAACAAGTGCTTCCTTCTGCCCAAATATCAATTTGCAGTGTTAGCTAACCTCAGAGTGAGTCTGCATGTGAGCATTCCAGCTATGTGCACAAATCTGATGAGTTACATGGCGGTGCCTGTGTCATTTGTAAAGATTCAGCCCCATGGAGATTGTACTTGAATGGAGACAGTGACGACTGGATTCCCATAAGAGAGATGAGCCCAGTTCCCAAAAGCAGAAGAAGGGTTCCCATCAAAGGAGATATCCACTGTCAAAAGAACATGGGCCAGAGATTTAGCCCAATGGTTCTGCCACCTGCCTCGAAGGCGCAAGGACCCGAGTTTGATCTCCAGTACAAAAAAAAAAAAAAAAAAAAAGAACAAAGTTCTTTTTGTCTCTATAGGTTTTCAAAGAATAGTTTGCCCTGTGGCTCTGATGAACAAGACCCCATTCCATCTGACAGCTGTTTATCGAGCATTTGGTCAGACCGTGCTAAGCATTCGGACTTCATTTCCTATGCACTCTGCTGGCCGGTGTTGCCTGAGCTGCCCTGTGCCAGGCCCTGTGCTGACAGAGACCGTGTTTGGTCCTCGCAGCTCGACAGATTGGCATGGTTTAATGTTAAAATGGAATAGAGTGGAGCGGGAGACCAGTGTTCCTGTCACTGCCCTCTACTTCATACCGGAGACTGCAGTTGTATTAAATGCGTGGTCATTTCACTATTGAGGAGCTACCTTTGGACTTGGTACTTCCTTTACTAGTTTTTTTTTTTTTTTTTGGTACCAGGGATCAAACTCGGGTCCTTGCACTTGTGCAGCAGGCAGTGAAACCACTGAGCTGAATCCCCAGCCCTTGGTACTTCCTTTAGTCTGTTTTTTTTTTTCTCAAATTTAAAAATCTGCAGGCAGTTTAGGGGGAAGGTTAGTGTACCACACAATGTGTACCAAATGTATGGGCTATGGAAGGGTTTTCAGGGGTTACTTTGACTAAGTTCTTTTTCTTACATACTGACTTGCATACCTAACCTGTGGGTAGTCCATTGTATGCTTGTTCTTCTGTAGTTGAGCATATGTATTAGTGGTGGGTGCATAAATGCACACCTACTTGGGTGCACAGCTACTTGGGAGGCTGAGGCAGGAAAATTGCAAGTTTGACTCCAGCCTGGCAACTTAGCAAGATTCTGTTTCAAAATAAACAATCCAAAGGGCTGGGGATGTAGAGCAGTGGTTGCTGCCCCTGGGTTCAGTCCCTGGTAGCGCATGCAGGTTCATACCTCCGTAGGATGGATGTGCCAACTTGCCTCTCTGCCACCTCATTCCTGTCGTCACACTGAAATAAGCACAAAGGACACATTTCTCCCCACCACACAGTAGCAAGAATAGTTCTTCCAAAACTTGGAGGTGGTGAGGGACCGAGGTTTTGTCAGCTTTTGTGCTGGGGATTGAGCCCAGGGTCTTGTGCATACTAGATTGTCAGCACGGATCATTGCTTTTTCTGGTCTTTTGAGACCATCTTAATTTTAGCTAGGCTGGCCTCCAACTCACAGTCCTCCTGCCTCAGCCGCCTCCTAAGTGCCACCCAATCATTGTTGTTTTTTTTTTTTTTTTGAAAAGTACAAAAAATTTATTGAGACAAAGAAAGCTTCTGTCTAAGAGAGACAGAAGGGGGACCGAAAAGTGGGTTGACCCCCAATCATTGTTTTCTAACTGGCTTTTGGCTTTGTAGGCCATTTAAATATTATTTTTTGGTACTGGGGATCCAACTCGGGACCTTGTAACTTGCGAGGCAGGCAGCGGCACCACTGAGCTAGATCCCCAGCCCCCATTGATATTATTTTAGGGCTGGGGATGAGTTGGATTCCCGGTACCAAAAAAAAAAATAGTATAATCAACATAAGGCAAAAGTTGACAACTTAGATATTATTTTAAATGAGGTGGGAGCATACTATACTATAGAATGGGTGCTGAGATTATAGGTGTGCACCACCAGGCCTGGCTTGAGTCTTAAATTTTTAAAAGGCAAAATTAAAATTTCAGCGTTGTTCTTAAACTTACCTTTGTGCTATGTATTTTGAAGGTAATCCTAGATTTGAAAGTATTCGTTAATATGACTCAGGAATAAGTATCTCTCTGTCAGCACCCAGATATGCAACAAAGGCTTAAGCCACCCCTAACCCTGCGGTAAAATAGTCCCACAACCCCTAGGAGATGTGGGTGACTGCGCAGCTGGTAAGTGAGCTGCTGTTCTGTACACTGAGGCACTGGGTCAGAAACTTACTCTCTCACCTTGATGTTTTGGACCTGCAGTTTGCATAAGTGGTTAACATTAATTAGAAAAACACTAAAAGGACTGGGGATTTAGCTCCGTGGTTCCACCGCCTGCCCCCCAAGCACAAGGACCTGACTGAGTTCGATCTCCAGTACCAAAAAAAAAGAAAAAGAAAAACACTTTAAATAACAAAGTATTCCAAAAAACAAAAACAAAAATAAATAAGAAAGTATTTTCTCTCACTGGCTTATTCTTGAAGTATTCTTAGAGCATTTCTTATTTTATTTTTTTGAGACAGGGTCCTGTTATGTAGCCCAGGCTGACCTCAATAGTCCTCCTGCCTCAGCCTCCGAAGTGCTGGGATTTCAGGCATGTGCCACCATGCCTAGCCACACCATAATGCTTTTGACTGAAATTGGTATAAATGTTTGATCAGTGAGGGGTGATCATAAAATGCTGTGAGTGTTTTCTGTTTTGTTTTTTTTTGCTACTGGGGATCGAACTCAGGACCTTGCGCTTTTGAGGCAGGCGTGGTGCCACTGGGCTAAATCCCTGGCCCTAAAAATGCTGTGAATGTTTACATTTTAAAAATGTATTTGCTGCCTGCCTCCCAAGCAGAAGGACCCCAGTTCGATCCCCAGTACCAAAACAAACAAACAAAAAAAACCTTGAAAAATGTATTATAGTAAAAGACACATGCCATTAATCCCTTTCAAAATTATACTCAAAATATACTCCCTCACTTCTAACATGATTATCCCATCCTTCTTGGAAATGTCTTTTACTTTTTTTTAACTTTAAAATTTAAACATTCACTGTATCTTTTGGTCACCTCTTGCATTTTCAAAAGGTGAAGAAGCATCACTATGCTCTCAAAGCCTTTCACTTCTCCACACCCCTTGTATCTGCTGTGCCCTCAGTGTAGCTGGCCGGCATGTGGCACCACGCCCAGCTAGTTTTATACCCTGCCAAAAGCTAGTGCCTTGCTAATGAATGACTACAGGTTCGGTACTAAAATGTGGATGTTTCTAATCTTTTTAGATCCAAACTTAAAATAGAAGATATAAAAGAAGCTAACAAAGCCTTGCAAGTAAGTAGAAAATGTTTTTCTCAAGAACATGTAAATCTGTGTGAACATCTCCAACACAAAGCCAAGCAATGTGTATGTAACCCAAGGCATTCAGAGCTGGGGTGCTTGGCTCAGGAGGGTGTTGGCCGGGTCTGCTCATGGCCCTGTGCAGCAAGCAAGTGGCGATCAGACAACAAACCCATGGGGCCTGGCTCTCCCTTTACCTCTGCCGTCGCATCACTAGTATAGTCTTCCTGATGGAGGCTGACCTCAGACAGAATGTCAGTCCATTTCCCTACAGCCCTGATGGCGAACCTTTTAAAGCTTTCAATGATGCAAAGCCCATGGCAGCACACGTGCCATGGTTCACCACTGCCCTACAGTGTGACATGATAGAGTTGCAAGTGCTCTGAACTTAATCCTTTAGATCATATATCAGTTTCTTACTAAATGGTCTGCAGTTTGTGACTTTCAGCAAGTCACACATCCTGAGACTCTGTTTCCTCTTCCTAAGTAAATTTAGGAGTTTCTAGGGTCACTTTGGACACTGAGTATGTTAAATCTGTGTGGATGTGGCTGGTACCACTCATCAGCATGTAGTCAGGGCATCTGCTCCCACAAATCCCTTCTGTGATACAGGAGAAAGCAGAGTGTAGGGTGAGCGCTTTAGTGACATTTCCTACCCCAAACTACCAGTTTATCAAAGTGTTCCATGAAAATAATCTTAGAGTCACTCCCTTGTCCCTTACCCACCCTAGATCCAGCTGACCCAAGATAGCTACTTTCAATTATTTTGGTCTACTAGGATTTATTTCTAAATAACCTGTAGTACAGTTTGCTTTTTTTTTTTTGAGACAGGGTCTCACTATGTAGCCCAGCCTGGCCTTGAACTCCAAGACAATCCTCCTGCTTCAGCCTCCCAAGTGCTGAGATTACAGGCATGAGCCACCATGCCCAGCACTTTTGTTGCTTTTGATTCATCAGTTTTATCTTACCAGGGTGAATGTAGTTCTGCTCACTTTCACATTGGTCTCTTGCGTCTCTCTTCAGTGTCCTTTCTCCCCTGCAGTGCTAGGGGATTGAACCCAGGGCCTTTGCACTGAACTACATCCTGTCTCCCCTACTTCGCTTTGAGACAGGGTCTCACTCATATTTGTAATCCTCCTGCCTCAGCCTCCCAGAGTGGTGGAATCCCAGGTGTACACCATCATCCCTAACCTCTTATTTTTGATTCTTCACAATCTATTGCTATAAAATGTTCTTGGTGAAAAAAAAAATTTTTTTTTAAATTTTTTGAGACAGTCTCCCTATATATATAGTCCAGACTGGCCTCAAACTTAATGGCAATCCTCCTGCCTCAGCTTCTCAAGTGCTGGGATTACAGGTGTGGACTATGATACCTGGCCTCCCATGTAATTTTTAGTGTTACCATTTTGTTTTTTGGTACTGGGGATCGAACTCAGGACCTTACACTTGAGAGGCAGGTGGTAGAACCACTGAGCCAAATCCCCAGCCCTGTGTTACCATTTTGAGCACTAATACTCACTTTTCTTCCTACTACAGGGACTGGTTTGGCTGAAGGATAAAGAAGCAACACATTGTAAGCTTTGTGAAAAGGAATTTTCACTCTCTAAGAGAAAGGTAAAGGAGGCGGGGAATAGAAAGCTTTTAGTACAAAAAGTTTCTAACTTTATTAAGTTGTTCTCTCATCTTTCCATACAATAGCACCACTGTAGGAACTGTGGGGAAATCTTCTGTAACGCCTGCTCTGACAATGAACTGCCTTTGCCTTCCTCACCAAAGCCAGTGCGGGTCTGTGACTCCTGCCATGCGCTGCTCATTCAGAGCTGCTCGTCCAGCCTGCCCTGAGTGGAGCTGGCCCTGCACCTCTAGAGCTCCTGCCATCGAGGTCATCTGACCACTTGGACTCATCATGCAGACAGCCCTTCCTCAGCAGCTGAGGCGGCGTTTGTACCATGCATCTCTGTAAACTCACAGCACCAAGAAACAGGCTGACTTGTTACTAACTTGCCCACTGCTACCAGGAGTCCCCTACAGCATGTTGAGATGACTTTGTGTAATTATTACATGGGATAACCTCATAACCCTAAGCACCACAAGGCCCTGCACACTCTTGCCTTATGTTGCCGAGGCCTTCTTACAGTAAGGCTACAGATTGTTCATTCCTGTCCGGTTGGCATTTGATGGTGCCTGAAATTCTCCTACTGCACTTTAAAGCTTTGCAACTATGAAAGACTGGAAACACACACTTTTAACAAGTATTAACATTGCAATTCCACAGATTGGTTATTCTGGTAAGATTCCAATTTGTTTATTTGCTTCTCTTCCCCTTTTCTCTTTTGCAATAACAGAAAAGGCTAGAATTTTATACTACAGAATTTCCTTTGGCCTTTTCTAAAATCAGTCACTATTGTGCTTGCTGATACCTTTTTTTTTTTACCTTAAGTCAGTTGCAGATCTTCCCATATGCTGACTTTTAATGGAAAGGGGGTACATAAACCTGTGGGGGGGGGCCTTGACAGCAGGGAATGACAGGTTTATATTCCCTAGTAAACACCTATTCCCTGGCACACACCTGTAATCCCAGCATTCAGGAGGATCACAATTTTGAGCCGAGCTTGGGCAACAGTTAATGAGACCCTATTTCAAAAACAAAAACAACAAAAAATATGTAAGAAATAAAAACAAAAGGACTGGGGATGGAGCTCAGTGTGAAGGCCCTGGGTTCAACCTCTTGTACTGGGGGGCGGGGGGGATACTCTTCTCTATAAGCATTTAAAACAAGGAAAAAACTGAAATGTTTCCCTTGGCATGACACGGGATGGCAGCTAACAGATGTTAATTACACTGTTAAGAAGCATTACTGAGATGATCTGCTGCAGAAGTCCAAGTCCCACATCCACAGTAGTTCCATCTGGCAGGCACCTCTGCTCATCAGGGTGTTGGGTAGATGCTGTGCTTTCTGTCCTACCACAAAATAGACAACCTATTTCAGGTTGATTCAGTGAACACTAAGTTATATTGCCTATAGCACTAGAATCCAATCTGTAATCACTATTACCCTGTATGATCACTTAAACATTACCATTCAGGGTTTTATTTTTAGCCATGCCCTTTAACTTTGTGAACCTTCTAAAAATATCCTACAGAAATTACGCATTTCTAAGTGCTATACTCAGTAATAATTAATGTGTCCCTGCCCCCTAAGTATTTATTCTGCAGACTTTCTTCCTCATGAGTATATACACTGAGATTTAAAATTACTTAACTTTCTAAATTGCCAAAGTATAAAATCACCATTTTACTTAAAGATCTATTTTTTCCAGAACGCATACATTTTCAGTTTTTAAGGTCAACTTAAGGTATATCTGACTTCAGTTTCTAGATGGTCTTTCTTGAATACTCACAGATGTCAAGAGATAATTATATTCTTGAACCCTTTTGTATCAATGGAATAGATTAACATTTTTATGATCCTTGAAAACTGTGTAAATGAAATTTTCAAATAGGTGTTATGTATTTCAAACAAATTTTAAAATGTTTAAATTCCAATTTACTTCATTTAACATGTAAACCATGATTATGTAGTTATGCTTTTTTTTTTTTCTTTTTTGGTACCGGAGATTGAACTCAGGTCCTTGCACTTGCGCAGCAGGTGGTGAAACCAGAGCTAAATCCCTGGCCCTTTTTTTTTTTAGACAGGGTCTCACTAAGTTCCTAAGTTGCCCATGCTGGGCATGTGTGATCTTTCTGCCTCGGCCTCCCAGAATCCTGGGATTACAGGTGTGTACCACCACACCAGGCCTGTATTTTTTTGGTCAGCTTTTCTGGCTTAAGAGCCAGATACTAATATAGACTTTTCTGCTTAAAAAACATTTTATAGCCAGGAATGGAGGCATAAGCCTGTAATCCCAGCACTCTGGGAGGCTGAGGCAAGAGGGTCACAACTGGGGGCCGGGGATTTAGCTCAGTGGTTCCACTGCCTGCAAGGACCCAAGTTCGATCCCTGGTACCAAAAAAAAAAGAGTGTCACAAGTTCAAGTGACACTCTTGCCAACCTGTCTAAAAAACAAACCACCAAAAAGCAGCTGTTGAATGTAGTTCAGTGTGAGTCTTCTAAATTCAATTCCCCAGGCCCACAAAAGGAAAAAATAAAAACAAAAATAACAACTTTCATAATTCTTATTTTGTGGTTATGGACCAAGCACCACTATTACTTTTAATGATAAATGTATATACCGTTCCCTTTATCTAGCCAGTACTACTACAATGACACTGTCATGGTGCCAATGAATTACAAATTCCTTTATCTTGTAATGTTTTAAAAATGTGAATTTTATAAATAAGTAAAAATTTGAAAAATTAGTTTCTTTTTCTAACATTTTATACTTTCACTGTTTGAAGATTTTAAGAGGGTACGTGGGAAAACAAAAGCACATGAAACTTTTAAGTCGGGTACAGACATTAAGAACCACGGAGGGCCGGGGATTGAGCTCAGTGGTGCCACACCTACCTCACAAGCAGGAGTCCTGAGTTCCATCCAGGAACTCAAAGAGCCTAGAGCCCCTCCCCCAAGAAGATCCCTGCTGAGAGCCAGCAAGCTCCAAATACATATAATAGTCTATTTAAATTTTCTTTAATTTGGACATATTTAGTACTTTCTGCAATTTTTTTTTTTTGGTACCAGGGACTGAACTTAGGACCTTGTGTGTGCGAGGCAGGTGGCAGAATCAGAGCTAAATCCCAGGCCCTCAGATCTGTTTGATAATCAGTAACCAACACGAAGCATTCTAGGACAGACGCCAACACCATTATCTCCCACACAGACGTTTATTACATAACATTTCTAGCAAAACAAGTAACAAGTTCAATAAATGAATTCACATTGACAGGTTTCATTTTTATCCATTAGCCAATTTGGAAAAGAAAGCCATACTGATCAAAGTGATAAAATTAAAAAGCACCTTTTCCTTGCTACATATAGTATTTTTAACTAAAATGCCAAGCTGTTACCAGATGCAGACTCCAACTGCAGGATTCTTATATAACATAGATTTGTCTCTTACATTGTTTTGATGTAGTCACTTATACAAATATTTAAAAACCATATACTCGACTGGGTAAGAAACTGAAAGTACATCTGTGAGAATTATACTCCACAGTAAATACCTCAATTCTCACATCACTGAGAAACTTACTCTATGACATCTTGAGATAACTTAGGACTCTCACTTTTGGGAAACATTTTTGGTGCTTGGGCCAAGTGCTGAGGGGATTTTATTCTAAAATCTAGGGCTAGCATTTAAACTTCCAACACTCCCGTCCCTAGGTAACATTTATGAATATTCAGAAATCCAGGTAACTTGTACTCAATCATCAACATTTCAAAACTGCACCTGATATTTGAAAAAGAAAGTAGAATTAGCTGAATTTATACTCCTAAAGCCACCTAAACTCATCTTTAGGTTTTATATTTACAGTGCTGACCAGAAGAAATTAAAGAAAAAAAGTTACACTAATTAGTCAAGCTCTATTCCAGATGTCTGCTTTTAAGACTTGCAGTTTATGTAGAAGTGAACCATTACCCTCTAATATTAGGCTACACTACATTTTGTAGAGCTGACAAAAATACATCAACCCAAATTTTATGAAGGCAGCACATCTTAAGAGTAACTAGTATATATAAAAAGTATCAACATCAGTGGTTTGAATATAAAAATTTATTTTTAAGTCAAAGTATGCAACAAATAAAACCTACAGAAAACAATTTTCCCATCACAATCTGTTGCTTTACCAAATAATATTTTGAAAACACATTCCTTCAGTCATTATAAAGTTCTTAAAATACAAAAGAAATTAAATCTGTAAGAAAGTCTAGTAGACCAGATGCTGTTGTTAGGACTTGTGTGTTGGTGTCACGCTTTCAGTACATCCCACGCCATCCGCCTCCACTCATGCCACCTTGCCCATAGTAGCCACCACTCCCTCCACCGCCACGGCCTGAAGAGAGACAGGAGTTGCTGAATAGGAGACACCCATATACAAGATACTCAAAATAACATCCGCACTCGAAATTATGGGTACTGCCATGTGGGGGCTGGATTAATACACACCAGAGATACTTACCATAGCCACCCAAGCCATCAGGAGTACCATATCCTCCACTGTAATTGTTCCCCATTCCCATCCTTCCAACAGATCCATATCCTCCTTGATTATCTTTACAAGAAAAAGGAAAAAAAGCATTTGAAATTAACTGCCCAGTAGCTAAGGCTGCTTATTTTATTTTATTTTTTTGGTACCGGGGATCGAACTCGGGTCCTTACGCCAGCGAAACCACCGAGCTAAATCCCCGGCCCTAAGGGTGCTTATTTTAAAAACTATACATACCCATTCCATCTCTGCCATAGCCTCCCATGCCAGAACCTCCCATTCCAGAGCCGCCTCCGGGAGTAGAATTCAAGAAGAGTTCAATGTATCGATGTTCTTTAAAATAAGTTAAAAGATGGATCAAATTTATCAATAAAAGCTAGTAATAAACTGCAAGTACTCCTGATATTTGAGGTATAAAAAGTACCTAAGGAAGACAAAGTCTATGTAGAAGCCAAATTGATTTCAGCAACCTATATAAGCTAGGATTTCTTATATTTAAACAAATCAGCAATTTACTCCATAGGTGAGCTCACATGCAGTGAGCGTGCCAAGCCAGATGTGGTGGCCCCTGCCTGTAACCTCAGCACTGGAGGCTTATGGCTAGATCACAAATTTGAGCATGGCCTGGGCAACTGAGATCCTGCCTCAAAAAGTAAACAAGGGCTGGGGCTGAAGTTCAGCACCAAGACTATGTTCAATCCCTGGTACTGCCTCCCCGCCCCCCCCCAAAGAGGCACACCAAAGATACCACTTACGCATGTTATTTTTATCTTTAGACATGGCAGCTACTGCATCTTCATGTGTCACAAACTCTACATCTGCTTCTCCTGTTGCTCTTCCATCTGCTCCAATATCAATATGAACTCTTATTGGATTTAGTGGTGAAAAGAACTAAAAAGGAAACAAGTGTTATTTTTCTTTCAGTTACTGAAAGTTACTGCAACATACCTTGATTTTTCTTCATCCATTAAAATAAGTTCTTCCACTGCTAGGTTGCCAAGCTAATCCCAACAGAATTTCTGTGACTGACTATTAAACCTGGAAAAAAATCTACCCTACACGTATTAAAAGCCTCACATCCTACCATAAGGGTAAATTTTAAGGCCAGGCATGGTGGTCCATGTCTGTAATCCTAGCACTTGGGAAGGCTGAGGCAGGAGGATCTGCACAAGTTCTAGGGCCAGCCTGCACTACATAGTGAGACCCTGTCTCATAAATGTATGTGTGTATGTATGTACTTATGTATGTCCAACTCACTGGACACTCCAGATACTATTTTAGGCAGAACATGGCGGTGCACGTAATGCCAGCTATCTGGGAGGCAGAGGCAGTTTTGCAGGCTTGAGGCCAGCCTAGGCGATCCAGAGACCCTGTTTCAAAAAGAGGGATGTAGCTCAATAAGAGTACTTGCCTAGCATGAATTAAGGTCCTGGGTTCAGTTCCCCCCCCCAAAGGAGTTAAAAAAATATTCAAGGGGGACCGGGGATTTGGCTCAGTGGTTTGGCCGCCAGCTGTCCAAGTACAAGGATCCAAGTTCAATCCCTGGTACCAAAAAATAAAAAATAAAAAAAAATTCAAGGGCTTGGAATGTACCTCACTGGTAGAATGCTTACCTAGCATGTATGAGGCCCTGGGTTTGATCCCAGCACCACCAATTAAAAAGAGGTATTTTCAGCTCTGGGTAGTCATCCACACCAGTAATCCCAGCACTCTGGGGGACTGAGGCAGGAGGATCTTAAATTTGAGCCCAGCCTGGGAGAATCAGCAAGACCCTGCCTCAAAAAAAAAATAAGGAGTGTGGGGTAGTAGGTCAGTGTGAAGGCCCTGGGTTCAATTCACAGAACTGCCAATCTTTTGGTTTGCCTGAGCTGCCTGAGTGAGAAGGAACTGTCTTGGGCCATATTACTAGAAGCCCAGGGCTACACATATTACCTATGCCTGATAACTTTTGCTTTAGTAACCAGATGGTATTTTTGGCTTTACAAGCCACTGGGTCTCAAGTACTCAATGGGTAAAAGCATGGGTGTGTGTGACTACATTTGATCCATGGGTGTAAGTCTAGTTATCACCTAATCAGCCTGAAATCAACTGTTTTCATTCAAATCAGTGACAGCAGTAGCATCTATCTACCTAGACTGGAAAGGCAAACCACTGAAATTTGCTACATAACTCACTCTTTCAAAGTCTGAAATCTTCCAGCTACCACCATTCTATGTTCAGTATCTTGACTAAATTATATCCTCCCCCACAATGGCACTGGGGATGATCAAGCCCAAAGGAAAGTGATTCCATCCCTGGTCTTTTGAAAACGGGACCCCAAAACTTCCATCCTCTTGCCTCAGGCTCCCAAACAGCTGGGACTACAGGCATGCACAACCATGCTGTACACCTTTACCTTTGACATAAAAATAGCTTTTTACCTACTTATATCCTATGTAAGCATAAAACGAACACAAAAGTATCAACTACTAAAGACAGGGTAGATATATTTTTACATTTGTGGTCTTTTTCTCCCCAGTGCTGGGCATAGAATTGAGAACCCTGTGCATACTAGGCAACTGGTCTAACACTGAGCTTTACCCTCAACCTAGGCTGATGTTAGATTATAAAGGATAGGGGGGATATTAATCCTTCAAAACTCACAGCAAGTATAAAAACACTAATAATTACTAAATTACTCACATTAGCAATGTCGTTTTCAGTTGCTCGAAAAGGCAACCCTCTCATATGTACAAAATGACCACCATGAAAACCTGAACTTGCATCACCAGCTCCACCATAGCCATGTCCTCCCATACCTAAACAATAAAGTTCACCAGGATTATAAAACCATTATTATACATATAACAATACCTGTATTACAAGACAGACAGCTCTTTAAAGGAATGCACTGAAATGATTGAGCTACCTTTTCTATACGAGTCACCTATAGTATCACAAAAAGTATAAAGCAAATACTAACAATTACAATTTACTTCAGAATGAAACTTGATTTTACCTCTCCCATCTCTCATTCTGTCATCAAAGCCATCATTTCCATAGCCGTAATTATTATAGCCACCATAGTCATCAAAACCTCCATAACCTGTGTAATTTAAGGAGAAACACATAAATACCATCCCAAGAGATAAATCTGATGTTTACAAAAACACATTTCTCATGTTATTCCAACATTTTGCGTTTGCAACCCCCAACTTAGTGCATATTTTTTAAAAAGCAGTTAACATTTGACTGAAATAAAAAACCTCAAAAGGATAAACTCAGACACAACATGTAAACTGAGTTTCACGCCTATGCCAATTTCATTTTCATTTCCGTGTAAGTTTTCTTGGTGCCAATATGTGCATCAATCATGTCCCACAGCAAGCTGTGGGAATCCATATTTTCATGAACAGGTTTTAAAACCTATAGGTACTGAAATTACTGCCATTTCTGTATTTCTTGACAAAAATGTCAGGAATATTAAGAAAATGACAACAGAACCTTTGTTCATTAGATACACATACCACCATCATATCCATCACCTCCTCGTCGCATTCTGTCATACATACTTCCACGCCCAGCTCCATAATAACCCCCTCTTCCTCCTATTGGTCTATCATATGGTCCCGGTCGTTGTCCCAGCAATCTTCTTGGTGGATCATAAAATCCTTTGATTTCGCTCCTGCTACTTCTGAAGATCTCAATATACCTATTTAAAAATGTTTTAAGGTACAAGTTTCAGCATAAATGTATTAGTGTTATTTAGATATTGGGCAAAATGCAGCAAGTCTTTCTATATCTAGTACACAACCCAATTAAAAATACCTAAATACACCATAAGGTAAACATTTTTTACACCTAAAAACTTAAATAAATAATTAAATATTTAAGTTTTACATAGGCAAATGAGTCATTTGAAAACAATTCATAAAATACAAATATATTTTTAGTTTGTTTCCTTTAGTACATGATAGATGTTTCACGAAAATGTATTATATGAAAGCATTTATCAACAACAGCCTACAGAGAAATGGAAACAATCTACTTTTAATTTAAACAAACTATTAGCATCAATTCCCCACCCAAATCTGTAGTTTCCAAGTTAAATTTAGGTAATTATCAATTCTTTTAAACTACCCCAGAAAAATGTTATGGTTACCCCCCCATTTAAGCAATAGTGACCCACAACCCCCAAAATAAAAGTTTAACACCATCCCCAACTCTCCATCCCCACCTGTGCCCTATTCTTTCCTTGTGTTTCCCCAGAGCATTTTCTGCTATCTCCTTTGAAGCAAACTGCACGAAGGCCTCCCCTGTGCTTCGCCCCTGGTAGTCCATCGTCAATGTTATCCCATTTGGCACGATTTCCAACCCTTTAACCCAAGGACAAATAACCCCATCAAGGGGAACAGTGTTAAAGGCTGAAACATTCCCATCTGAATCATATATTTAAAAACAAGTCTAAACAAAACAAAACAAAAAAAGCTTAGTTTCCCATCACCCCATAATACAAATGGAATATTTCTCAAATATTATCGGATTAAATAACTTTTTGGCAACCAGTGTCTTTAAATTACACTTTTCTAAAAGCCCACCTATATTACTTAAAAAAAAGCTTTAAGTCAAATATATGCTCCATATGCTAATTCACGGTTCATTTCATCACAATTATTGTCAATTAACTGTACTACATATCAATTAGGTTATACACATTTTACATTCTGTATCCAATATTAACTGGAGCACATTTTTCGTATTTTTAATACACAACCAAGATTATCACAAATTTAAAAGTTTCAAAATTAAATTGAGTTTTATAAATTGAACTGAGTAAATAGTAAAAACACAAAATTAAAATACTACTAAACTTTGACTAATACTAGAGGTACCTTGAAAGAACTGAACTATTTCCTCTTTGCTGCAACCAAATGGCAATCCACGAAGTCGAACTGTCCCATCACTAGCGTCATTTGGACCATTATGTTTCATAACCCAATCCATCTCAATACCGTTTGATTTAAATGCTATAAAAAATAAACAAGCACATAAAGCAGTCAATCAAAATACACCCTTGTCAAAGGTACCGAAGAAACACCTCTCAGAAGTGTTATAATAAGAAGTATTAAGATTTTAATGACTTAAAATAATTCCAGTGACCATGCCACAATACAATGGTACCCCAACTTTATTTTGAAGTAGGGAAAATAGTGAAACATAAGCCCTCCAACCAAAAATCCTCAACTTCTCATTACCAAGTATTTTATGTTGCTTAAAATTTTTTTTTTTACCTAATTCCACTACCAGAATCTTTAAACAATTTCTTAATCGTGTCATCTTAAGGCCAACTCTAGCGTTCCCCTCATCTCTCACACTTCTCTGGATTTCACTTTATTCACCTAAAAACAGGCAAAGTTTCAAAAATTTTAACTGTTAGGAAGCTGTATGTTGTACAGTTGCCCACTCACATTAAAAGCCTAAGTAAAAAAATGAAACGAGTCCTGAATGTTGGAAAGAAAGGTATACAAAAGCCCAAATTCTTAAGTGCACTATTCTGAACACATCAAATTGGCTGGGGGAAATGCCCACTTCTATTTTAACTAAATCTAGGTCACTCACCAAGAGCAAGAGTTTTAAAGTGATTAAGTTGGGGCTGGGGATTTAGCTCAGTGGTTTCGCAGCCTGCTCCACAAGCAAAAGGACGAGTTTGATCCCCGGTACCAAAATAAAAAAACTGACATAAAGTGATAAGTTAACCAGATTCAGTTTAAAAACAGGTAAAAAGGTACTCAAAAGTGAATGCCTCTCAACAGTAAGCACCCCGCCCCCAGATCGAACTCAGGACCTTCAGCTTGCAAGGCAGGCTCAGTGCCACTGAGCTAAATCCCCAACACAGTGAGCTTATTTTTGAAGCTACTCATTTGGAAGTCACTGGTGCTGTATAGTACACAACCAGTTTACTCACTGCTGTAACTTTTTAGTCAAAAGGCAATACATTCACATTCAGATAACTACAAAAAAAGCTCAGAAGACCCCATTCCCCTCCAAAATGAACCCATCCACCCAGTTTTCTACCCGAGACAACCATCCTTTTATAATTCCAGAACATTTTCAAAAGAGGATAATGCAGAGGTCCTTCAGCTGCAAAAACTTACCAGACCTTATAAATTTCACTATGCAACTGTAGGAATCCTACTCACCTGAATATTTCAAACCTTTCCCTCACCACTTCCTCCCCTGTAAACAAAACAATTTGTTCACTGGATTCCTTTAAGCTTGAAGATCACATTTCACATCAACAGCATTTACTAATGCTCAATTCCACATGACCTAGTTATCAGTGAAACTGTTAGTGTAGCATCTACAAAGGGGAACACTTCTTTTCCCTAGAATTTACCACTAACTTAAGCAACTGTAGAAATTCTGCAAAGTAGTTACTCATCTCCATATGGATCACTGTCAACATGTTTTGCCTGCATGTGTACATGCTAGGGATTGAACCTAGTGGCCCACTGATCTAAACCCCACCTCTTCAAAAAGAGGTAAGTGCTACTCCAGACAAAACAGGTTTTTTAAAACTAACATTACAACTAATTCTTACACCCACAATCGATATGAACTTTTAAGACAAAAGAAACCCTGGGCTCGAATTCCACCATTGGAATGGGCTGCCATTCACTGGTCACTGAATTTAAATAAACTACTACTAAGTCCATTCACTGTAAAACGTAGCAATAATACCTACATTTTACTGGACTGTTACAAGATTTATTTACAAGAATTTTGTACAAGAAGTTTTGGTTTGCTGCTTCACAGTTAAACATCCACCATTGGCAACTGTTAATGGATTTTAAGGGCCTTACAAAATCAATGAGCTATTCCACAAACAAAATACTTGAACCTAAAAGGACAGAAAACTGAGTCATGAATGGAAGTAAGAACTGTAATCTTTTCCAAGTCAACAAAGGCTTTAAAAGTTTAATACTATCCTAGAGTAGTTCAGAAAGAAGAAGGCTCAAATCAGTTGGGAGGAGGGGGTTGGTTCAGAGATGTTTAAGACCTCCACTATTTTCTTCAAAAATAAAATTTAAAAATAATTTTTTAAACATAGTACCAACATAAGAAAAGTATTTCCTAAAAAAAAAAAAAAAAAAGTATTTCCTATAAAAGATGATTTAAGAACAGAGAAAGGGAAAAGTGAAAACCATTTAACATCAAATATTACTTCATGATAATTTTTTTTTTTTGGTACTGGGGATCGAACTCGGGTCCTTGCACTGGCACAGCAGGCGGTGTGTCATGATAATTTTAACTGTCAACTCAATCTACCAGGGAATAAGATTTTGCATGTTTTTATCAGCTCTTAGCAAATTTTTTGGACATAAAAGACTACAATGCACATACAGATTTATATTTTCAAGCAAATACAAAAACATGGGAAATTGATTTATCTTTAAATGTTAGCACTTTACAAGAAAATAGTATCAGGCAAACTAATTTTGATTTTTGGATCAGCCTATACCAAGTTTAAGAGTCATAACAACAAATGAAATACCATCTTTAAGGAGCCCATTAAATTTTTTTTTTTTTTGACACAGGCTCTATGTAATCCAGGCTGGCCTCATCCTCCTGCCTCAGCCTCTTAAGTGTGGGGATTACAGGCGTCAGCCACCACACCCAGTTAAGCCCATGAAATTGTTAACACCATTTTTTTTGGTACCGGGGATCCAACTCAGGACCTTGCGCTGGGGGGGGGGGGGCAGGCAGGAGAAACACTGAGCTGGCCCATGTGAACACCATTTTTAACTGCAGAAAAGTTAGCCAGATAGGGAACAAACTCTTTATAGGTGACTTTCAATCCCATGTGTACAAACAGTATATACTGAAAAGACACTTCCCTCACTATATCTCTTCAAAACCAAGCCTAGAATTCTACAAAACAAGGAAAACTAAAGACACCAAAAAAGTAATCTCTACTACCTTAAAGCTGTCAGAAACTGCCTAAAAATTTTACTAAATTCATGTGGACCTCCCTCTGCAACAATGTCACAGCTAGTCTGTACTGTTTTAGGATCCCAAGTACTATTCTTTATTAGTCAAGTGTCAATAGTGCATGCCTGCCCATAGACCCAGTTACTCCAGAGGCAGAAGCAAAACCCCACCTTGAAAAACCTCCAAATGTTAGCACCAATTAAATTTATCAGTAGTTGAAATATATGGTTAATTTTAGTCAGTTTTAAATGAGACTTTGTGGGCCGGGGGTTTAGCTCAGTGGTTTCACCACGTGCTGCGCAAGTGCAAGGACCCGAGTTCGATCCCCAGTACCAAAAAAAAAAAAAA